AGGGGGGGTGGGGGAGTGGGGTGGTGGGCTGCGGGCGGGGTCGGGCGGGGGCAGGGCGAGGGGCGCAAGCGGGTACGGCGGGCGGTGCGGGTGTGCGGATGTGCGGGTGTGCGGGTGTGCGGGTGTGCGGGTGTGCGGGTGTGCGGGTGTGCGGGTGTGCGGGTGTGCGGGTGTGCGGGTGTGCGCCTGCAGCAGCTCGGTCGGCAGGAGGAGCTTGTGATCACTCACAGACTTGCCAGCCTGCTCGTACAGGAGCAGCCGCCCCGTCTCTCCGCTCGTGGCGACGAGGGTGGCGTCCTCGGCGCGGTGCGAGCGGCTGCCCGCCGGCACCCGTCGCAGCACCGTCGTCATCACCGCGTCGCGGTCGGACTCGCGCCGCGCCTTGTGAGATATGGGGAGATATGGGGAGATATGGGGAGATATGGGGAGATATGTCGCGGTCGGACTCGCGCCGCGCCTTGTGAGACATGGGGAGATATGGGGAGATATGGGGAGATATGGGGAGATATGTCGCGGTCGAGCTCGCGCCGCGCCTTGTGCGCCGCAATCACAGAGCCGAGCTCGAGGTTTGAGACGACGTCGGCATGGCAGAGCACGAAGTCGGAGGTGATGACGCCGAGCGCCTCCACCTGCGCGCGCCGGAGACGCGGTGGAAGGGGCCGCGGACGGCGGCGGCGGGGCGAGGGCGGCGGCGTGTGCGGTAGGCGGAAGCCGCGCCTCGCGGAGGGCGTCTCCGGCCGAGAAGCAGGGCGACTTTGCCGCGAGGACGTGCAGCCGGACGGAGGCGAGGCGGAGCTCGAGCTGCGGGCGGGGCGAGGAGCGGGGTCGGGCGCAGCGCGGGGAAAAAATTGGGCGGCGTGCGGCGGCGCCTGCGAATCGCGCACATACGAGATGACCTGCTCGGCGTGCGCGCAGCAAAACACAAAAATCTCCTGCACGCCCGACGCCGCCAGGAACTCGAGCGTGTACTCGATCATCGGCACGTTCACCAGCGGCATCAGCGCCTTTGGGACCTGGTACGAGACAGGCCGAAAGGCCTGCGGCGAGGAGGAGGCGTCGGCACTGTCGATCAGAGGTCCAGCTGCGGGAGCTCTCCGAGGGCGAGCGACGCAGGCCGTGGACCTGCGCGAAGGAATCGGCGAGGACGACGGCCTGGAGCACCGACTGCTGGGCGAGGTCGCTATCCGGCTGCTTGACCATTGCTGGTGAGGAGAGAGGTGCTCTGGGCCTACCCGCGCCGCAGCCGATGAGAAAAAAGAATTTCCCTTCGCACGTGGCACATACCCATCACCGAGTGGAACGCGCTCATGAAAGCACTGCACGGAAACGGAGTGAGCAAGGGCAAACAGAAGAGTGGGCTAAGAGCGGCCGCACATTGCTCGGTACCCCCCCTGCACTTCTAAGCCCGTCCCTGCTTGCTGCTAGGGGGGGGGGTCTGACCCCCCCAGCAGCAGAGCGCTGCTGCTGGGGGGGGGGTCCCGACCCCCCCAGCAGCAGAGCGCACTGGACCCAGCTCCCGCCTCCGGCCGCTCCCCCTCCCGCCCCCTCGGCTCGTGTAGTTTGAGCGGTACGCTCGAGGCGGTTGTGTTCACCGCGCCTTCGAGCCCAGTACACCTTCGTCGTGTCGAGTGCTGGCGTTTTACTAAAGACTTGTGACCATGGTGAGTCTATCTTGTACTACCACACAACACTCGGTGTCAGAGCGTCGCGCCTACATGTCATCAATATTCTCATCACCGAGTGATTGCTGGCCTGTGACCTCGCGCGGATATCACCAACGACGAGCATGCGAAGATATTGAGCACTATCCGATGGACTTGTACAGCCCGCTGTGCTCTCCGCTGTGCCACGGCGTATGATGGGCTGCGAGAGCCGTATCTTCCCTCCTTGAAGCAGAGGCGCCGCGAGGCACGAGAGGCGTAGAAGAGAGGCTGGCGTGCCCCGCACCGCCCGGTTGGCAGTAGGAGGCCCCGCCGGTGAGACCACTGATTTTGATGCGGACCATAAATTCTCGCAACTCGAACGCATGCTACTTACAGCTGCTGTCTGTACAGAGATGCCAGCACCCCCCACAGGCAGAGCGCTGCTGCTGGGGGGGGGGGGTCCCGACCCCCCCAGCAGCAAAACGCTGCTGCTGGGGGGGGGGTCCCCACCCCCCCAGCAACAAAACGCTGCTGCTGGGGGGGGGGGTCCGCCATGGGCTTAAGTGTGCAAGGGGGGTACCCAACAATGTGCGGCCCCTCTAAACACCCAAGTGTACGGGGTGCCCTGGTCATGATGTTGAAAATGGGAAGGTGAATATCTTGAGTGGAGCTGGGCGACCACACTCGAGCCCAGGGGCAGTTCGGGGCAGTGATCAGGACACGCACACAGCCGAAATTCAGTGATGAACGCTGCGCTTGAGGCCCCACAACACGCCCTTGCGCCTTGGACGCATTTAAGCATGCACGGTACCATACGTGACAGAGCGGCTCCGAGGCCCCCACCCAAGAAGGGGACTCTTTAACCGGTGGCGGTGCAGCGACCTTGCGGGAGTGTGTGCGGGCGGGCATTTGATGACATTAGCGAAGATTGGCCGGTTTCGACATTTAGAAGAAGGAGTCCGACGCAAACAGTGACGGTTCAAGCAGCAGGGCCATCGGCACTTGGATACATGTGCGCACACTCTTTATCGGCTGGCGCGCTGCACACACGCGAAGGCTCTTCGTGGAGGCGCAAGGAGCACTTCGAGTCGAGCAGGTACGTCTCGTCATCAACGCTCTCGAACGTCGTCTTGCGAGAGCACGTGCTTCCTGCTGCGGTAGGCACGGATGCTCTGGCGCTGCTCACTCGCTGCATGAGCTGCCCGCCCTCGGCGGCTGTCGGCAGATGGCGCAATCCGCGCTCGCGTGCTCCCATCAACGAGAGGAAGCCGGGATGCCACTCCATGGTGATGGTGGAGATGGCGTCGGCACACAGCAAGCCGGCCGCCAGGAGCTTGGGCATGACCTCGAATTCAGCGCCTTCCACATCGATCTTGGCGAGCACGTAAGCCGGCCTGTGCCCCTGTGACACCCTTCGCTGGACGACGTGCTTCGCCACCCATGCCGCGAGGTCGACCGTCGTCACTGGGTAGCCTTGCTCCTCGAGCTTCTTTCGGTGAGGAAAGCGGTAGATTGAGCTCGAGCGCTCGGCAGACCACTTTCGCCTCCCGTTCAAGTCGACCGCCCTTCGAGCAGCCAGAGCCTCATCGGACTCTGCAAGAGGCGTGCCCCCGCTGTCCCTGTAGAAGGTCGTTGCGCCGTCGGCAGAGGAGACGGCCGTCTGCGTGAACACCTTTACGCGCCAGCCACGGCTGGCGTAGCACGCCTCCAGGCTTCTGAGCCTTGCCGTGTGTGCGATATTTGGCTCAAAGGCAAACGCGCACAGGCCTTGGAAGGAGCGCGGCGAACGCTCTGCGATGGTCCCGAACGCCTGGTCGAACAGGTGTGCATACAGCTTGCCTTTGCTCGAGGTGGGCCGGTTGTCGTCAGCCCACTTGCCGTTCCACGTCGTTGCATGCGGCGGGTATGCGGCTGGCTCGAAGAGCTTGCGTGTGGATATGCCCATGTTGGCCCCAATGTCCAGGAACACGAAGCGGCAACCGTCTCCCCAGCGGCCGTTCACGACGTCGCCAGGCCCCGAGAGAGCAGTGCCGTTCTGCCAGAGCTTCACGTCTTCCCTGCGAGAGCGGAGCTGCGATGAGCTTAGAGCATGTGACGGATGAAGTGCTGCCGCCGCCAAAGAGGAGAAGAAGGCTGTGCACGAGCACGGCGACGCCCGCCTCGAGCGCCGACATCGGCACAAAAGCGCCATCGGCACCGACAAGCGCCTCCGTTTCCTTTGCGTGGTGGGTGCGTACTTTTGCGTCAAAACTATTGGTGCAGCCGGCCTAGTCGTGCAATTCACGTTTACGACTACTAAAAATGCTTCCCGTGCGAAAAAAAAACTCGGAGGCACACCACCGAAAAGGGCTCGGCGAGATCTATCGATTGGCACTATTTCCGAAAAATCGACTAGATTTTCCTCCCCCGGACCTCCCCTGCGCGCCGCAGGCGAAGCGAAATTCGGCTGCCTGCGTCGGTCTGCGCTCGATCTGGACTCGGTCTGGGGCACCTATACAAGCCCAAGCATAAGTGAGGCTTAGGGCGCTAGGATTGGTCGCCAGGACGCGACAGAGACCGGCACCGGTCCGCATCACATCCTACCAACCCACATCAGCACGCGCAGATCGGGGGGGTGGCTTGCGCGCAGCCAGAGCTGCGAACGCAGGCGGATGCGGCTGCAGGTTGAGAAAGCCGTCTCGAGCGGCCCGAGTCAGATCACCTGCGGCGCGCGCCAGCGGAATGGGAGGAAGAATGTCGGCTCTCGTGCAACCGCAGTCAGCAGCATGCGTACACACCTCTGAACCGAGCAACGGCTCGAGGCATTGCCTGGCGGCCGCAATTTTCTTTGCCTTGGCCAGATCCGACGACGGCGGCGTCGCCTCCGGCTCGAGCAGCGCCACCCGCGCCTCATCCGTCGGGGCGGCGAGAGCGGATGCGGAGGGTGAGGCGGAGGTGAGAGGCGCAGCAGGAGAGGCGAAGAGTCAGATGTGGTGGCGCCGGCCGACGAAAAGCGCAGCGCGTCGCTGATGAAAAGCGCTGACGCGTCAGCTGCTGAGCTTCCTGCTTGTCGGAGAACTCGTCGGCTTCAGCTCCGGCGCTCTGAACGCAGCAGAGATGCCATCTCCCGCGCGACGCAGCGAGAGTGGTCGCACCGAGGACCAAACGCACCTACGAACGCATAGACACGGCCGGAGACGGGTCAGTCGTAGGCTGCTCATGTGTCCTCGATGGATGGGAGGGGTCTGGGCGCAAACGATTGGACAGAAATGGAGCTAAAAAAGCGCGCGTATCCCGTCGTCACGCTCGACTCCGCGGCGCTCCAGGGCCGGATCGCGGTCGAATCTGGCGATTCGGCTCCAATCGCTGGGTGCTCCGGACCGGTCCCGATGGTGTGGGCACCGCGGACGGCGCGCGGCGCCCTCATGCGGGCCGTGCATAGGCGGCGGCGCGCACCAGTGGAAGATGCGCCTTTAGGCCGGCTGCACCAATAGACGGTTTGGCCGGCGCCATGTGGCGCCGGGCCCCGCCCTCCAGGGCTGGACTTTGTCTGGTGCCAGCGACGCAAACGGCATAGAAGAGAGCCACCACACAAAGTCCACACGTGACCACTTTCTTCACGATGTTAGTACCGAGAACTGACGTGGGAGAGAGACTAGCAGTCTACCCGCCCTCCTCAGCCGCCGCCGCCCCGTGCTCCCTGAGGCTGAGCCACTCCCGCGAGCGCAAGTCCGCCTGCCTCACGCGGCGTCGGGTCGAGACGCCGCCGCCTCCGCTGGACGAAACCGAGGCGCCCGAAGGCGGGGCGGCGTGGGGCTGACGCCTCAGCAGGCGTCAGCCGGGCGGCGTCATGTCCTCCTCTCAGCGGCTCTCTATGAGCGCTGGGCCGCGTCCGCCGCCTTCCTTGCAGCGGCCGCCTTGGCCCTCGCAGCGGCCGCGCGCCTCGCCTTTGCGGCGGCCATCGCCGCCTCCGCTGCCGCCGTGGCCGCCTCGGCTGCCGCAAGTGCCGCAGCCGCGGCTTCCTCCTCGGCCGCGGCTTCCTCCTCCTCCGCCTCTGCCTCCGCCTCCTCTTCCTCCGCCTCCTCGGCCAAGCGCTCCGCCTCGACCATCTCAGCTAAAGCCGCTGCCTGGCTCTCCGCCGTGATGCCGAGCCGGATCCTCTCCTCGTGACAACTCTCGAGAAGCCTGATCAATCTCGCCTCCTCGGCCTTCTTCGCGGCCTCGGCTGCGGCTGCCTCCGACAGCACCTCGGCACCCTCTGATGGCGCCTCTGCACCCTCCACCGCCGCCTCGGGCTCCTGCGACGGCCCAGCGCCGCCGCTCCCGCCGCCCTCCTTCTTCTTCTTGCCCTTCTTGCCCTTGCCGCGCTTCTCCGCCTCGACCTCCGCCAGTAGCTCCTCGGCGTGCCGCGCCGCCTCCACTTCCGCCGCCGCCCGCTCCGCCGCCCTCTCCGCCGCCTCCGCAGCCCACGCCGCCTCCTTCGCCGCCTTCTCTGCCGCCGCCTTGGCCGCCGCATGCTCCTCGAGGGCGCGCACGCACTCGGCGTTGCCCGCCTTCTTGGCTATCTGCAGCGCCGTGAGTCCACTCACCTCGCGCAATTCCATGTCAGCGCCCGCCCGCAGCAGGCAGAGCAGAGCCGCGGGGTGGTCCCAGACAGCGACGAACATCAGCGCGGAGCGGCCGGCATTGTCTTGCTGGTTGATCTCCGCGCCGTGCCGCAGCAGCAGCTCGACTACCTGCTCGTGGCCATGGGCGGCCCACATCAGCGCGGTGATGCCTGCAGGTTGATCGCAGCGCCACGCTGCAGCAACGTCGCGGCCAGCCGCTCGTTGCCGTAGAAGGCGGCGTACATCAGCAGCGTCATGCCGCTCACACCCTCACGAGTGAAAGTCGCGTCCACCCGCCCGCCGCCGTCGAGCCACGCCAGCACCGCCTCGAAGCCTTGCTCAGCCGCGTCCGCGATCTCCTCGGGGACGGCGTCCTCGCCCGTTCCGCTCTCTGCGCCGCCAGAAGAGGACGCGGCAGTTGGTGCCGCCGCTGCCCCCTTGCCCGAGGCGGCATCGCCGTCCGCCCATGCGCCGCCCGCCTCGCCGATGTTCTCGGGAACAGGCCCGCTGCTGCCGCCCGCGCCGCCCGCCTCGACCGCCGCCGCGTCGCGCCTCTCCGCCGCCACCTCGCCGAGAAACGTCTTGACGGCGGCGACGCACTCGGTGTGACCCTTCTCCTTGGCGATCTGCAGTGCCGTCTCGCCCGCCGCAGTGCGCAGCGCCATGTCTGCGCCCGCCCGCAGCAGGCGGAGCACGACGACAGGGCGGTCGTAGCAGGCGGCGACCGTGAGCGCAGTGTGGCCGATGCCGTCCTGCAGGCCGACCTCTGCGCCGTGCCGCAGAAGGAAGTCGACCACGCGCTCGTGGCCTTGTTGGGCGGCGAACATCAGCGCAGTGCTGCCGCCGCTGTCCTGAAGGTTGATCTCCGCGCCGTGCCGCAGCAGCGTCTCGGCCACCTGCACGTGGCCCGTGACGGCGGCGGCCATCAGCGCCGCATCGCCTTTGCTGCTTTGCGCGTTCACCTTCGCGCCACGCTTCAGCAGAACCTTGACCAGCTGTTTGTGACCGTTGGTGGCGGCGATCAGCAGGAGCGTCCAGCCACTCACATCGCGATGCACGCACGTCGCGTCAGCCCGCCCGTCCCCGGTGAGCCACGTCTGCACCACGCCCGCCTTGCCGTCCGCCGCCGCGGCTTGGATCCTTTTCGGCAGCGCGAGCGGCGCAGCCTGTGGCGTCGTTGAAGCGTGTCCGCGCCGGGAGGCGGCTGAGTCAGCTTTTGGTCGGCCAGGCATGGGAGCGCTCGTCGCAAGAGAGAGTCACTGGCCGTGGGCGCTTGGTGCTTGGGAATAAAGAAATTGATCGCGCGAACGAGTAACAGATTTGGGCTCATGCGCCTGCTCTTCCTCTTGCTCGCCGCGCGGTCGGGAGCCGGAGTGGTGGGGTCGGAGCTGCTGCAACGGTGCGAGTGGCCGCGAGGGGTGGTGCTGAGGCTCTGACTGCCAGGCACGGCAAAGGGCGCTATGCGCAAACGTCGTACCGCGTGGCACCCCGCGCCTACTCCTCTGGACTCCGAGACGGGGAAGTCCCAGACGGGCGCCTTACGGTCTCGACAACGGTCTGCCGGCAGCCTCCCCTCTTGCTGACGGTAGCAGTGGACGCAGACGCTGAGCAGCGCTCGACCGGCGGTTTCAGCCCGGGTCTGGCAGTGAGTGAAGTGTATGACGGAGACTGGGTGGACGACCGCCGATGTGGCAAGGGGACTGTCACCTACTCGAATGGGGAGGTTGAAGTCTGCAGCTTCCAGGGCAGCCCCGATGCTCTGGGCCGTGAGGGGACGCGTGTCGGCGAGGGGATGCGTTGGGACCGCCACGGCCGCCAAGCGTGGCGGCTAATGGACGGCAAGATTGTGGAGAAAGTGACGCTTGTGGTGGCAGAGGAATGGAGCAAGGCCTTTGGTGTCCCCTGTCCACACCCGGCGCCAGCCGAGCCTCCCTAGATCGCGAGGTTCCACCCTGCCCCGTTCCAGGTTTGTCAGTGCATGAGGCTCTTCGAACACAACCGATGGTCGTCGTTAGCCCTCGGGCGTCTGCCTCTCCCCATCTCTCGTCGCGAGCGAGGCCGTGGCGCTGACGGCTCACCGAGACTGGTGGGGCCGCGGGTGTCGGAGGAGGGGAATTCGGACGGCGGCTTTTGGGGCGAGGACGACGGCCTAGGAAGCCGTCGTCTGCCCCTTGTCTGTCGTGTGAATCGTGCGTGTGCGACCGCCTTTTGTCGCAGGCGCGGGTCAATTCTTTTCGCTCAGGCAAGAAGGCGCCAAACGGCAAGCCGCACGAAGAACTCGGCGATGCCGCAATGGTCAACCCGCGTGCGAAGCACGCGACAAGACACAAATACCTGCTCAAGCGACTCGTCAAGACCCTTCGCTCGGCGTGGGGCATGCTCATCGAGATGGAGCCGACTGCACACCTCACGACCCTCGAGCGAGCAGCACTCGGTCGTCGCACCACAACACACCAGAAAAGCCGGCGGACCACAACACGCCAGAAGAGTGGGGAGGCTCGTCCGCCATGCCGATTGTCCATCAACCATCTATGAGAGCAGAGCAGAGCTTGCGACTCACGGTCTACAGCCTGACATGTTAGTTCCGCCCATGGCGTGTCTGACTCTGAGACGGTGCGATGTGCCATCCATTGCCTCGCCCTCTGATGCCGCCGATGGCTTGCCTCGCCATCGCGTAGCGGACAGGGCGTGCACTGCCTCCGTAGGCGATAGCCGGCAGCGATTGCGTACGCAGAGTGTACATCAACCGGCGCTGTGTGGCAGATCGGCCACAAGTTCGGCCACCGTGGCGTGCACTGCTGTGCGGTGGCTCTCCGGCCTCTCGGGGCTGCGGGGCGAGACACACGCAACACCCGCTATCAGCCACTCCCTCTGGTCCTTCATTCGCAGCAGCTGCAAAATGTGCATGGCAACACGTACTTACAACTGCAGGTGCCAATTACCCTCTTCTACTGCACCCCTCCCCCGCGGCGGCGGCTGCGGCGCGGCTGAGGGCTCGGGGGCTCCTCGCCAGCCTGCCGGCCCCGCTTGCCTCGACCGCCCCGCCGGCTCTTCTTCTTTTGAGGCTTCGCGGCAGCGGCGGCGCCGCCGAATCGCTCCTGTCTGTCGCGCTTCTCCTGGCGCTGTTTCTCCCTGGCGCTGGTTGCCGCATCTGTCGAGGAAGCGGAGGCTCCAGAGCAGGAGAGTCGCGTGTGTCGGCCACCGAGCTGCCGGGAGGCCCTACCCAGTCTCGGACGTCCGCACTGGGGGAGACCGGTGCGGCTGCTGCTGCAGCACCACGTGTGCGACCAGCCGGTGCCGCTGCAGCGCCGTCGGTCGCAGCGGCGGCTGCTGTGCCTCTCGCACGGTGGCGTCTGCTCATGCGCGTCGCGTCTTGGAACCAGCAGCGACGGGCAGCGACGGGCACGTGACAAGAGAGCGCGAGTTCCTGGTTTCGCGGCAAGAAAAAAGAATTTTAGTTTACCACACCCCAGGACGCGAAGACTTTCATCAGCTGGGTCCATTCGGCCTGGATCGTGTTTGGGATCGCGCCGGATGCCGGAGTGCCGTCGAAGCTGTGGAGAGTAGTGGCCCTTCTTGCCGAGCTTGTACTCTTGCAGCGACTCGCCAAAGCATGCCTCCGACGGCAGGTAGTTCGGGTTGCAGCTCGGCTTGGCCTTCACAGCCGCCCGCTCGAGTTCATTCACAGCGAGCCGGCAGGCCGCCAACTCAGCCTCAGCTTTCGCTCGGGCTGTCTCGGCTGCGTCCACGCGCTCCTCGGCCGCTCGAATGCGCCCATCGGCGGCAGCTTCCGCCGCCGCCCTCGCACGCGCCTCCGCCACAGCGATGCGCTGAGCGACTGATGCCTCCGCCGCCGCCGCTGCTGCTGCCGCCTCCGCAGCCGCTGGCATCACTCCAGCCGCCGGCGCCGCTCCCTGAGCGGTCGCAGATGGCACCTGCGAGAGCGGGCTGCGCGCCGCCCCTCCGCTGTGCGCGGCCTTCCTCCCCGGCCGTGGCACCGGCGCCTCGACGCGGCAAACTGAGCTCTGCGGCGACCCAAAGTCGAGACGCGTCGCCGCGCCGTGGTCAACTTGCATCGGCGTGGCGGCCATCGCAGCAGCAGGCGAGGGGTAGGGCGTGCCCACGTAGTAGTACGCCTGCGTACCCAACCCATACCCCCACGGCGCCCTCGGATCCACTTGCATAGGTGAAGGTGAGTAAGCAGGGACTTGCCACATGGCTGCCCCTCACCTGTCCGGACCCTCCGTAGGCGGTCCTCCCGCCAACAGCGGCGCATATGTCGGGCGGCCGGTAGAGCTCCCGCAGCTCGGCGACTCGCCCGCCGCCGTGGCGACGCCCTCCTTCCCTCCCTCCCTCTCCCTCCCTCTCCCTCCCTCTCCCGTCTCTCCCCCTCCTGTGTCCTGTCGATGACTCTCTCTCTCTCTCCTGACCCGGTGACACGTGGTCACATGGCCACGTGACCTCTCCGCTGAGCGGAGGGTCATGACTCATGTCTCGCTTGTGCGTGCACCTCTCGGTGTGTGTACGCCCCTGTGTGCCGTGCGCGCGCTTGCGCTTGGCCGCCGGGCAGTCGGCTCCACTCATATGGAATTTTAAGGGCGGCTGATACACACGCACACCGACAGCTGACAGCTCGGGGCCGGCACAGGCTGCAGCAGGCGCGCAGTCGCCGAGTCCGACGGGGGGCCGCGGTGTGAGGCGGTCGCCCGTGCCGGGGCTCGTCCGTCGTGCCCGACCCAAAACAGCCACCTGGTCCACACACTACAACGAGAGCCAGATCCACACGACGAGAGCCGCCCCACGCCGTCGATGAAGAGGCTGTGCCGCCAGCTGCCGCCGCCCTCGCTGGCGGGTTGGACTCACGAAGCAGCGCCGCAACGCAAAGCCACCACACGGCGCAGCCCTCGCCCTCTGGCAGCGCCAGCAGCTCGAAGCCGCGCTCTTGCGCCCACAAGCGGATGGCGTCCTCCGCGAGCGAGGCGTGGAAGAGCAGCGAGACGGCCGCGACGCGAGCGATGTCGAGGGGGTCGCAGCGAGAGACGACGCGCACGAGGAGGTCCGTGGGGAGGTAGAGGAGGTGGGCGGGCGGCGGCGTGTCTGGCAAGGGAGTGGTGGTGGGCAAGGCGGACACAAGAACGGACATCGCCCTGAAGCGCGGGCGAGGAAAAAGTAATTTTTCCGGTTTGGCCCGGTCAGATATGGTGTTGTATTAAAGCAAAATATAAATAATTCAGAAGCGGCTGCCCGGCATCGCTGAGGCATGCTCACGCAGCTGAGTGAGCCCGGGCGCGTGAGTCGACACAGGCACCCACCCAAGGGACAGCACATACTTCAGCTCACCCGCAAGCGCATCGAAAGAGGGAGGCGGGGGCACCGAGGCACCTCCGACCGGCACGGAGCCACTAAATATAGCAGCTCCAACGCACAGCGTGAGCGTCTCGCGCGCCGGCTCGAACTCTACCCAGTGGGCAGAGTTGAATGGAGGCCCGCGGCGGGCCTTTGCGCCGAACTCGTCGCTCGCGCGCAGCTCCGCGAGCTCGGAGTCGCCCAGCGGGTAGATGGAGATTTCGGCGAAGCGGTGCTGCTCCTTGCTCGTGGAAGGCAGCTGGAGGGCGGAGAAGCCGAAGATGCGCGCAAAGTCCTCGAGGCTGCGGAAGAAGTAGCGATAGATCACTCGGTCTGCGTCGGACACGCCCTTGCCCGAGCGGAGGAAAGAGTCCGACCAGAAAGGTAGCACCATCGCATTCTGGACCGACCAGTTCTCCAGGAGAAGCCTACGAGCGAGGGAGGGTGGAGGGTGAGACGGAGGTGGGGGGTGGGGGGGGGGAGGGGGTGGGGGGGGGGAGGGGGTGGGGGGAGGGGGGGAATGAGGTTGTCAACTCACAACCGCCAGGGCCGCACCACAGGCGTCTTGCGGTATGCAGACTCTCCTTTGTGCTCCCTCTTGGATACGTAGTGACATGGCTGTTAGGCCCCTCGTGTTTTGTTGAATGGGAGGGGGGCCAGGTGTTTTTCTTTCTTGTGTTTTTCTAGTGTGGGGGGGGGGGCTCTCGGCGCCTCATCGGCGCGATCGCCTTCGCGGAGTTGAGGTACTTCAGCATGCTTTCCTGAGACATGCAAGAGGGGCCGGGGTGGGCTAGTTCATGTGTGTGGAAGGAAGGGCGGGATTCTAGGCAAGCGCGCCATGACGGAGAGCTGCACTTTTTGCCGCAATGCTTTGCGCTGCAGGGGGGGCAGGAGGAAGTTGACCTCGCCCGCTCGTGCCTCTTGCTGCGTCGGCTGGCGCGTCGCCTGCACGCCAGGGAAGAGGTGTGGCAGAGGTGAGGCTACAGCTGTGGGGGCGGGGTGGAGGCAGCGCGGGTCGTGTGATGGAGATTCCGGGACCCGAGCCCACTGTCGTGGGCGTCGGGGTCACGCCGGGTGAGGGGCACTCGAGGGTGGCTATAGGGGGAGAGGGGAGAGGGGAGAGGGCTGAGCGCACCACGAGGGTTCCATCCAAGAGCGCCAAGGTGAAGGAGGCGACAGACTCCTCGCCGCGAGCAAGCGCGATGTTGAAGACCAAAGCGGGAGCCGTGCAGACCCCCACCGCGCGAACCTGCGAGGGCTCAATCGTCACAGGAATGTCGGAGATGACGACCTCGCCGTTCTTGTGCAAGTACGGGCGCTCTGCGGCCGGCTTTTTGAGCATCGCCAGGCTGTCCGGGTCCGTGACGACAGCAGGGAGCTCCCCCGCCGTAAGGATGCGACGCGCCGAGATGGTGCCCTCCGGCGAGGCCGAGACGCCGTAGGCTATCGAGAGAACTCCGTCGCGCTCGTAGTACACGCACCGGACGAGGTGGTCGCACACCTCGAGCGACAGCTGCTCGCCTGCGTGGTGGGTGCACAAGGAGGGGGGGAGGGGGGGATGCAGGTGGCGGCCTGGGGCGGGCGGGAGCATCAGCAAGACGCGGGGCCACAGTACGACGCACCGTGCAACACTGGCCCAGGCGCGAGCGGGAGAGGCGGGAGGGTGGGAGCGCGGCTCCGATCGCTCGAGGCGGGAGACGGGACGATGGGTGCGGGCATGAGGTCGATCAGCTTCTTCACGCCGTTCGGCGTGTCGATGCGTTCGGGCAGGAGCGAGGCGAGGGGCGCGCCGCGCTGGTACTGCTTGAAGGAGACGGGCCGTGAGGGGCAGCCCTTCTCGAACTCGAACTCGAGGGTGCCGAGGATCTCGTATGTGCAGTCGGCAGCGCGCGGTCGCTCGCCCGCCGCGTCGGGCACCAAATCGTCAGCAGCGAGCGCGAGCATGCCCACCACGGGGAGCACCGACTCGAGGTCGGCCGCCGTTGCGTGGTTGGTCAGGACCACGCTACGCGGGCTGCGCCTCATGTACTCGATCACCGCGGCGGGCATGATGCTGGAGAGACAGACTGCGTGCCGTAGCCGGCCAGGCGGCACGTCCGTCTCCGAGGTGCCGTCTTCTGTGTACTTGACAGTGTAGCGCGGGCCGGCAGCGCGCCCGCCGGCCGCGCCGCCGCGCCGCCGCTTGGGTCGGTGCACCTCGCTGATGACGCCGGAGTGCCACCCGCCCGAGTAGCTCTTCCACCTGCTCTCCACAGGATCACCCACCTCATAGCCCTCGCTGCTGTCGCGTGCGTCTGGCCTCGCTAGCCCCAGGAGGTACGCCGTGAGGTGTCGGAACGAGTACGTGTAGACATACTCAGAGGTGTGCACGGTCTTGCTGTCGTTGGACGAGTCGCACTCGTAGAAGACGGACACGATGAGCGCCGGACACGTGCCAACCTCGCCTACGAGCAGGTCGACTGGTGTGTGGGCGCGGAACACACCGGCGGCAGGGCGCGCCATTGGCATTGCGCGCCTCCCATGTCATAGGACACCTCATGGTACTGCTCGGTGCCGAAGTAGATGTAGTCGAGAGAGGCACGGCGCACCACGGCGTGGTTCCCAACCTCGCTGACCAACCCGCGCGCCGGGCGCGCGGGCATCCGAAGCCCGCACGACGCCCTGCGGCTATGCCCAGAGCGCTTTTCTCGGCTCCTCCGGCCGTGAAAACGCCGCCTTCTAGGTCATTCCGGGTCATGAATTCAGTAGGAGAAACCTCCTCGCAACCTCTTAACGTCAGAACCCAGCGCCGGGGGGAAAGTGTCGTTTGGGGCCACTGGGCGAGTTTGCTGCGGGTTGACAGAGTCGGGGAGGCGAAAAGGACGCAAGCGTCTGCCCCTTTTTTTGTTTTCAAACTCGGGGCCCACTCCGCTACGCTCCGACCCGAATTTGGAGGGCCTAAAAGTTTAAGGTGCTGCTGGGTGATGCTCCGATAAACCCGCCGGATCTTCGTTACTTCGACAAAAGCAGGGACATTTCTTTTTTTGGAAGGGTAGGTGTGAATACAGCTTTCTGGTAGGGTTACATCGACGAACTATGCGGCAATCGACTGGGGGGCAGCCCCCCAGCACATCCCGCACAGAGACCTGGATGTAACCCGATTGTGAGCGTGAGTGAAACCGCCGATGCGATTGCTCATTGCTCAGTCAGTGACCGACAGTCAGTCGCAGCAGACTTTGACGATTGGCGGCCTCGCGCCCTCAGTCGCCCTCCTCTACTAACGGCCCTGCCCCAGCCCAGATGCCTCATCCAGGGCGGTGCAACCACTCGCGCAGGGAGGGAGAGACAGTCGGCGATCTGCGCCGCGCAGATGAGCTCCGCCTCGTCTGCGTCGAGGACGTCCACCGCAGGGCTATCATAGCGCCATATGACGCACTGCCTGTTGTTCATTACTTCGCAGGTGCCAACGTCGAGGACAATCTCACTGGTGGCGGCTGCACTCCCGGCCGGCGGTAGGAGAGATGAAGGCTAATGTACTTGGCAGTGTACGGGCCTTCCGGCGTGAACAGTGCCCCGGGACGAAAGAGGAGGCGACGTCTCTCTCGTCCACGAGCGCCTCGATGTGCGCATCGACGGTGTAACCAGCTTTGAGAGACGGGAACGAACGGCGGTGAATCGCCGACAGGTGCGCCTTCGTTCCTACCACCACTCCCACCACCGCCAGCTCCGCCGTGGACCTTGCCGGGCCCTCGTGGAACCAGCGCGAGCAGGCAGCGCGAACCGCTGTGCGCTCGGCGCGCCGGCCGCCGAAATCCTCTCAGAGTTCTTTGGGGAACCCCAACCCTAAATTTTCTTCGCCTGCGGCGGGCCATCACTTGGATTCGCTGCTTTCGCACGCCTTTATCCGTCACTCCCCCGAAGATTGGAGGTGTTGATTTATGCACAAATCTATGTGTTGCGAGCGCTAGATGGCGAAATTTTCTTCGCCTCCGGCGGGGCCGCTCGCCGCGGGGCTGGCGCTAGAGAGGGACTTTTGTCGATGTCGGCTAGAAGTGCTGCACCTTTTTGAGAATTTCACCCTGCTGCGCAAAAGGGGTCGGACACAGGGCGCAGCTCATGCTAAGAGCTAGAAGAGCGGCCGAGCTAGAGAGAACGAACTACCCTCAGTACTACCCTGTCCCATTAACTCCACCTACCCTTACCCTCGCCCAGGGATCTACAATGCTGTGCTGCCCGACGACAGGTTCGGCGCCGGGCACCGGTTTACAAAATGCGCTGCTAGAACCTGCAACCTCCCTCCGGCAAACACTGCTGACTGGCGAAGGAGGGGTCCGTTAAAGTCCTTGCTTGCCTCTCTGCCCTCCACCCTCCAGAGAACCCTACGCCACGGTGATGGCATGAATAAGTCGGGCGGTCGTCAACGGCGCAGCCGCCTCCCACGCGTTCGTCGCGGGATCGTATCGCTCAAGCGAGCTGCTGGCGCCACCGTCGTTGCAGCCTCCCACGGCGTACAGCTTGCCGTCGAGCACCGCCACGGCATGAGCCTCCCGCGCCTCTGCCATCGGCGCCACCGCCTCCCACGCATCCAACGCGGGGTCGTACCGCTCCACCGAGCTGAGGTGGCCGCCGTTCCATCCGCCCACCGCGTACAGCTTGCCGTCCAGCACCGCCATGGCGTGATCATACCGCAACTCCGCCATCGGCGCCACCTCCTCCCACGCGTCCAGCGCCGGATCGTACCGCTCGACCGAGCTGAGGCAGCCACCGCCGTACCCGCCAACAGCATACAGCTTGCCGTCGAGCACCGCCACGGCGTGAGAATGCCGCGCCTCTGCCATCGGCGCCACCTCCTCCCATGCATTCGTCGCCGGGTCGTACCGCTCGACCGAGCTGAGCAGGTTGTAGAAGGCATCCTGCCCGCCCACCGCATACAGCTTGCCGTCGAGCACCGCCATGGCGTGAGTCTCGTGTGGTGTCGCCATTGGCGCCACCTCCTCCCACGATTTCGTAGCCAAGTCGTACCGCTCCACCAGGTTGGAAGTTGCGTTGTCAGCCTCACTCTCTTGGCCGCCCGCCGCGTAGAGCTTGCCATCGAGCACCGCCGTGCTGACATAGTTTCGTGTCGAAGGCATTGGCGCCACAGCCTCCTCCTCCCACACATTCGTGGATGGGTCGTACCGCTCCAGCGAGTTGACGAACTCGCCATCGTTATACCTGTCTTGGCCGCCAAACACGAGCAAGCGCGGCCTCTCGCGCTTCTTCAGCGTCTCCCTCCAGCCGCGGCGCCACGCGCGGCACGTGCCCTTGACGGCGTGCTCCGTGATCGGCAGCTGGGCGAGGATGTGCGGGGCGAGGTCCGGCGAGAGGAGGACCTCGGAGAGCACCCACTCGGGCTGCTCCACGAGCCGAGCGGCGTGCTCCTCCGCCACGCGCAGCGCGGCGTCGCTCGCGCCCGCCTGCGCCTCGATGATGGCGCACAGCTGCGCTGGCGAGAGGCCCGCGACGCGCGCGCCGATGCGGTGGGAGGCCATCGAGAAAAAAAAGAAAGAAATGACCCACGACGAGGAAAGGGTCCCCACCTGCAGGAGCAGGATTTTGGAAGGACGATCAGGGGGACAGGCCATCGAGGAGAGCGCTGGCAAACACCGGTCGTCTTACTCATTTGAGGTATTTTCAGGTATCAATTTTACGGATGTCTTGGCCAAACCGTGCCGTCCACCCATCCCTCCCTTGCGCCTTGTGGGTTGTGTCTTGTGTGTTCTTTCTTTCTTTCTTCAATCGTGTTGTGCGCCCTAAATAAATAAAAACGGACACCTCTCTACTGTGAGATGGGTAAAAAGGAACAGGCCCCCGCCCTTGCGATCTTTGTGCAGGGTTCTTTGTGGGTGTGGTCGGCGACTAGCCGGGGTCGTCCTCCCGATGGGGGACTAGCACTAGCCGTCTTCCGCATGGTCCCTCGGGTCCCTGCTGCTCCTAATCTCTTCGTACATCCTCCTGCTGATCTCCGCAAAGTCCTGCTCCCTCCCTCGTCTCACCCTGCGCGTCTGCTCCGCCTCACCGTCTTCTGCCCTGCGTCGTCTGGCGACGGGTCCTCCATAGTCGGTCGAAGTCGCCGCCCTCCTCGTGCCTCTTCCCAACGTTCCCTCGGCGGCCGATGCCGTCTGCTCCGGCTCCCCAGTCCCCGGGTCTGCCCTGCTCTCGTCTGCACTAGCTTCTGCTTCGTCATCACTGGCGCCTCTCCTCTTCTTTCTCCCCTTCTTGTATGCTTTGTACATCGCGTCGATTCCTTTTCGCGTGAGCACCAGCCTGAAGCCCGCCCAGCATCTGAACCGCTCCCTAAGTCGAAGGAGCATCATGTTGTGCGCCCGCCTTTTGTTGTGTCTTGAGATTTTTAGCAATACCAAACAACTCTAACACTCACACGTAATTTGGGGCCTGGAGCCCTGTTCACGCGCGCGCGAGACGTGCAGACAGGGTTGCCAGGTGAGAGCGAATGGCGCGGTTCACGCCTCGCACAACAGAGAGAGAGATGCGCTCTGCATGGTGGGACATAAAAGAGAGCGAGTACTTGGGCGAGTAGGCCGTGCGGTCAACGCTGCCGCGCGCGACTTTGCGCGCGAGGCGGCGCAGCTTGAGAACGGCGGTGGGCGAGAAGCCGCCGCCGAACGTCTCGTGGAGCAGCAGGTTGAAGTTGTTGCGCTTGACAAAGATCGCGTCGTGGTAGAAACCGCGATGCGCGCCTTGACGTAGCCGTGGCCGGTCTTGTGGGAGAAGGGTTGGCTGGGCTGCCCGCGCGCCTTGCAGCCCATGTTCAGGCGGCGGGCCTTCTCTTCGGTGTTGCCGAAGGCGTAGGAGTGGCCGACGGAGGCGGGCGTGCCGCCACTCGAGGCGTTGCCAACGCCCGTCGAGGAGGTCTTGAGGAGGGGCGTCCAGAGCTTGATTTCATTCACGTCATCGCACCCTCCTGGCCCCGCATGGGGTTCTGCGAGGTCAGTCTTGTACCCCTCGTTGTACTGCCGGGTGAGCTCTGGTTTCTCCTTGTCGCCGTGCACGACCGGCGCGTTGGCCGGGGCGCGCATCGCGTCCTCCCAGGCGGCGAGGACGCCGTCGTGGGGCCGCCGGTGGTGGGCCTTGTTGTAAAGGTAGTCGCCGAAGAAATCGACTGGCATGCCCCGCTCGAGCGCGACCCGAAGGGTGGGAAGCGCCGCGGAGAGCCAAAGGCCGAGCTTCCGCTGGAGCTCGTCCTGGAGGGTGTCGGAGGAGAGGGCGGTGGCGTACGTACCGTCGACACGGACATCGAAGGCCTTGCCGGCGAAAGGCGTTGAGGCGGAGACGAAGCGCGCGGCTTCGCGGTTGTTGACGGCGCTGTCTCCGAGGGACGGGTAGTTCTTGACGTGCACATCCCGCGCCTTGACGAGCTCCTGGTGCGCGAACCAGTCCTTGTGATTCTTGATGGCAGCGAGCGCCCGCGGCCGCGGGTACGTGGATTTGCAAGTGCCATTGAGAATCGCGTCGGTAGCTGGAAGGGACTCGGGCTCGGGGAGCGGGACGCTCTTAGGGTAGACTCAGTCAGGTAGCCGTTGTTTTTTCTATGTCTTCAGGCGCTGTAGAGGCGTCTCCCCGTGGCGAGAGGTACTTTTTCCGGGGTAGTCGTGAACCAGCCGCGAGTCGTGCTGTTGCAGCGACCAGCGTGGCCTACGACGCCGAGCACAAGTGCCGACCAGCAGGTCGAGGTCCCTGTGGCTGTGCACCGCAGGAGCAGGCACACGCGTGCCGCTGCTGCATGCAGCTTCGCCGAGGCGGAGTACATGAGTGAGGAAGAGAAGCAGGCCAGCAGCAAGAAGTAGATCATCGCGAGAGACCCTGCCCGCGAACGGGGGGTGCGTCGACCGGCGAGACGATCGAGGGGTCCTGTTTACCATGCGGAATCGACCCTATATCCAGTGCTCAAGTCAAGTGCTCAAGTGCATCAGGAGGGCGCATCGCGAAAAAGAAAGAAAGAAGACAGGCAATCCACGGGAGGGATGGGAGGACGGCACGCGCAACGAGTTTTCTTTTTCGTACACCGAGACGCTGTCGCGCGGGCCCAACGAGCTCGAGACGACGTGTGCGGCCTGGCGAAAACACGCCGGCCTAAAGACAGATGGATGGCCGAGAACATTCGGCGAGCAGCAGGCGCGCTCCCTTCCTAGGTTGCCCATTCGCCGTCGCTAGTCGCGGCCGAAAGACACAACGGCGGCCGGCACACACGGCCACCGAGCCGCCTGTGCGACCGTGGCTGCATCCATCCGGCTGCGGCGTCCCCGCACCCCACACAAGCATCCAGGGTGGCACCGTGCTGCGCGGCTGGAAGCGTAGGGATCGGTGCCACTCACCCACCTCTCCGCTCTGTCTGTCGCCCGCCGCCGCCGCTGCTAGCACTTGGCTTCTTGGCTTTCATGCCTCGCAGTTGCTCACGCCAATTTTGCTGCACCTAGGTGCAGCGCCAGGGCTCCCAGCAACCTCCTCTCTTCATGAGTGTGAGAGACACGCCTTCTCCACACACACACACACACACACACACACAAAACAAACAAACACAACACACACTCACACACACACACACACACAGCTCCGCTGCTGTCTACTTTTCCCCTTTCTGCATCCCCCCCAGGCGCGTGACCTTCGCCGCGCGCCCAGACGCCGCCGCCGAAACGAATCCAGCTCGCGGAGATGCACTCAGAGACGCGGTACAAGTGTCGGCGGCAGACTTACGCGTGTGCGCTCGTGTCCCCCGCCAGAAGGGCATGTGCACCTCCACGAAACGATCCGACGGCGAGCCAGACGTCAACACATCGCCACCCAACTCCGGTGCAACAGCGCGCGACTCGGAAGGAGCCGCCCAGGAGTGGCCAGCCGCCGCGGCGGACAATGCTCGTCGCCTACGCGTCTCGAGCAATGCGCAAGCCACCGCACTCCAGACAAGTGCAAACACAGACCCATCGGGGCTCTGGGGCCCTCTGGCAGCCCGCTCGCTCTACTTTTTCCACGACCAGCGCCGGGCGTGGCTGCGTCTGGACCAGGCATCCGGCCAGTGGCTTGGGTGGGCGGCCGACGGCGCATCGGCGGCTGGGCTCTCCGGCGGCGCCGCCGCATGGTCGCCGTGGGGTGCGGTGGTGCGCCAGGAGGGAGGGCCGCACACCGCACGCTGGTTCGTCGGCGCCAAGACCAACGCCGCCTTCAACGAGTGCGACGAGCCCGTGCTAGCCGGCGGCGGTGCCGAGACAGCGTTCCTCTGCGAGCCCGTCTCAGGACCGGCGAGGAGGCTGTCGCGGCGGGAGCTGCTGTTGCGATCGACGCTTGCGGCGCGCGCGCTGCGCGATGCGCTTGGCACCACACCCTCGCCGCGCATCGCCGTCCACCTCCCCAACGGCGAAGAGGCTGTCGTCTGGATCCAGGTGCGTGCCCTGCCTCCGCCCCTGCCTCCGCCCCTGCCGCCGCCCCACAGCTCTCACACGGGAGAGAGCAGCCCCTGCCCGCCGCGCCAGAGCGGCCACCACGCGCGAGGCGAGACGCACTGCGCCCCGCCGCCCGTCGCAGGCAGCCAAGCGGATCGGCGTGCCCTTCGTCGCGGTCGCGGCGGGCACCTCCGCCATGACCCTCAGCTCGAGGCTGGAGGACGTGGGCGCGTCCCTCCTCATCACGAGCAGCGGCCTCGCAGCCGCCTCGCGCGAGGCAGCCGCCGCGGCGCCTCGGCCGCCCAGGGCCCTCCTCGCCGGCCCGGCGAGCGGCGACGAGGTGTGGCCACACAAGCTGCTTCTCCGCCCGCCCCACCTCCGCACCCGCTCCCCACTCTCTGCGTCTCTGCGCGCCCGCCCTCGCCAACCTCCTCCGCCCGCCACCGTGCAGACGCAAGGCTGGCCGGCGGGCGCAGCCCTCGCCGAGAGCCTCCTCGCCCAGGCCCAGCTCGCGCTCGAGGCGGCGGCCGGCGCGGCGGCAGAGACGGTGCGCCAGGACTGGTCAGACCGCGAGCTCGTCTCTCTGCTCTGGCGGGTCGAGCCGCCGGTGCCCGTCGAGGCGTCGCACCCGCTCTTCATCCTGTACACGAGCGGGTCGACGGGCAAGCCGAAGGGGATCGTCCACTCACACGCCGGCTTCCAGCTCGGACTGTGCGCCACCAGTGCGATCGCGCTCGACCTCCCCGCCGCCCCTCCAAGGGCCCCCGCCCCAGACGCGCCTCCCAGGGCCGCCCCAGCGGCCTCCCCTCCGGTAGCCGGCTTCGCCACGGCGAGCGAGAGCCCCGACGCCGCCGCCTCCACGGCCGCGGCCGCCAGAGCGGCGCCGCCCTCCACGGGCGACGTGCTGCTCGTGATTGCCACCCCCGGCTGGATCACGGGCCAGGCGTACATGATCTCCGCCGCTCTGCTCAGCCGCACACCCTCAGTCCTTCTGGACGGCTCGCCCGTCTCTCCGCCCGACCGCTTCGCCGCCGTCATCGCTCGGCACCGCGTGAGCGTGCTCAAGGTGCGCACCGCCCCACCCTCCTCTGACCTAGCACCTCCCTCCCCCCCCGTTCCTCTTCGCGAGTCTGGAAACCAGCGCCCGACTTATGTGGCGTCGCCCCCGGCGTGAGCACACGCCTTCCCGTCACGCCTCGCACTAGGCCGGCTCCACTTTCCTCCGGATGATCATGACCAACCCCGAAGCCGAGGCCATGCTCGCGCGCCACGACTTGAGCAGCCTGCGCCTCGGGACGTTCTGCGCCGAGCCGGTGAGTGACGCCTGCCCTGCCGTACTGAGTGCAGACTGACAGCATCCCCAAAAGCGCGTGCACTCTGGCTGGCGGCTGTGAATTTGCACCCGCGAATGTGTTCCGCATTGGAAACGGCTGCTATAACGCCACATGGACATGCTCGGTGTCCATCGACATCATCGGGATGCCGCTCGCCCTCCAAACGCCTCATCGGGGTCCGACTGTTGAGCTGCGCCAGGGCGCGCCGCTCACCCCTCTGGCCCCCATGCCCCTCTCCGCAGGTCAACTCGGTGGTGCACGACTTTGCGATGCGCCACCTCACTCCAAACTACATCAACTCCTACTGGGCGACCGAGCACGGCGGCATCGTCTGGAGCCGATGCCACGGCAACAACGACCAGCCGCTTCAGCCAGACGCGCGCAGCTGGCCCCTGCCTTGGATCGACGCCGCCGTGCTCGTCGCGGACGGCGAGGGCTGGCGCGAGGCCGCCGCGGGCGAGAAGGGAGAGGTGGTCATCCGGCGGCCGTACCCTTACATGGCGCTCACGGTCAGGAGACCTAGATGCGACAGAGCACGCGAGGGAATGCGGCGGGCGAACGGTGTGGCCGAGCCTTGAGCGGAGCCCTTGCGCGCCAACGCAGGTGTGGAGCTCCGACGGGTACGGAGAGCCGGGCTGGAGCGGCGATCTGAACCGCTGGGCGGCCTACTTCTCCCAGGGCTGCTACATCCAGGGCGACGCGGCCATCCGACACGCTGACGGCTCCTACACCTTCCACGGCCGCTCTGGCGCTCTCGCCCCGCCCCCACCTCCCCCCCGCCCCCCGCCCCTGGGACCGCTCCCCCCCCCGCCCACACCTCCCGTCACCCGGGCCACGTGTATCCTCCACCCCATTCTCCTTTTGCCACCCCCAGCAGTGGCCACCCAGGCTCCGTTTGCTCAGTAACCCCTCCCCCCCCCCGCACTGCCGTTGCCCCCGAAACACAGACGAAGTGATCAACGTCGGCGGCAACCGGATTGGCACCGAAGAGATTGAAAACGCGTTGCTGCGTGACCGCGACAGCGACGCATCTCCCCTGCTCAACGTCGCCGTGAGTGGCCTCGACGACGCGATCCTCGGCACGGTGCCTTGCGCCTTCCTGGTGCTAAAGCGCGAAGCCACCCTCGGCATGAAGGACGAGGCTCGCTTGCGCTCCCTCGTCAAGGCGCGGCTCGGCCCGCTGGCCGTCCCAGCGCGCTTCATTGCTGTGCCGGCGCTGCCCGAGACGTACTCTGGCAAGTACCTGCGCCGTATGCTCCGCGCACTCCTCGCCGGCACGGATACTGGCGACCGCGGCTCCGTGCGCAACCCAGAATGCCTTGACGCGATCGCTGACGCGCTTCGACAGAGCGGCGGCCCACCGCTGCTCGCTGACCGCACCCCGTCGAGCGAGCCCGTGGAGACGGTGCGCGGGTACTCGGCGACGACGGAGTCGTCACGCGGGTACTCGGGCACGACCGAGTCGTCCTCGGAGATGTCCCTCTCTTCAACCGTGAGCGCGCACCCCGAGGAGGCGCCCGGCCTTTCCGAGGTCGGGGAGGCGGTGCTTCAGGCCGTGCACCGCGTCAGCGGCAACTCGGATTTCCAACTCAACTCCCCTCTCGTGGAGGGCGGCCTGGACTCGCTCGGAGCCACGTACCTCGCCGCACAGCTCGAGGCAACCTTCAGGCTCAACCTCTCGTCCACCATCGTTTTCGAGTTCGGCACGGCCGAGGGGATCGCCGCACACATTCACTCCCGCCTCTCTCCGCCGGCGGCGTCTGCCTCGCGGCTCCCGGGGCTGCAGTTTCTCCCCGCTTGTCGCCAGGGCGACGAGCGCTTGGCGGTGGTTGCGGGGGGAGCAAGTATCCTCTGGCCAGCAGGAGCTTGTCACTTGCGTGCGGCGAGCAAAGTGGTAAATTGCGCCGCCAACCTCGTGTCGGAGGTGCCCGTCGAGCGTTGGACGCTTGAGGCGCCGAGCCCCTCCGACGGCGAGGTGGCGAGGCGCGTGCGGCACGGCGCGTTTGTCCACGGCGCGGAGCTGTTTGACCACGCGCGTTTCGGCGTGTCGAGCGCCGAGGCGCAGTCGATGGACCCGCAGCAGCGGTTGCTGCTCGAGCGGGGCTACGAGTCGCTGCGCGGCGCAGGCCTCGAGCGGGCGGCCCTGGCGGACACGACGTTCGGCGTCTTTGTGGCGATCGCAGCTATCTCCAGTGACTTCACGTCTTTGCTGCACGCGTCGCCGGCGGGCGGGAGCGTGTACGCCGCGACGGGGAGCGCGCACTCGATCGCTTCAGGCCGGCTTTCCTACGTGCTCGGCCTGCAGGGCCCGTGCGTCTCGTACGACACGGCGTGCTCCGCCGCGCTGGTGGCGTGCCACGCCGGCTTGCGGGCGACGCAGCTCAAAGAATGCGTCGGCGCCGTCACGGCATCCATCTTCCTCATGCTCAGCCCGCAAATGACGGTGAACTTTGCGGTGGCTGGCATGCTGTCAGCGCGCGGCCGGTGCCACACCTTCGACGCTCGGGCCGACGGGTACGCGCGCGGCGAGGCGTGCTGCGCGCTCACGCTGCGCACGACGGCTGGGGCAACGAGATGCTCGCTTACCATGCGAGGCAGCTGCGTGCGGCAGGACGGGAAGAGCGCGAGCCTGACCGCGCCGAACGGGCGAGCCCAGCACGCGCTGCTCGACGCGACTCTGGTGGACGCGGCCCTGCCGTGCGAGGACCTGTCGATGTGGGAGGCGCACGGCACGGGCACGGCGCTGGGCGACCCGATCGAGATGCGCTCGCTCGCCGCGGCGGTGCTGACGTACCTCGGCGACGAGTGCACGCTGCCCATCGGGAGCGTCAAGGCCAACGCCGGCCACGGCGAGCCGGCGGCGGGCGGCTCCGGGCTGCTGCGGCTGGCCGTCGGTCTTGGCGGCGGCGTCGCGTCGCCGAACGCGCAGCTACGCACGGTCAACCCGCACATTGCGGCGGTCTTTGAGGGCTCGCCGACCGCGTCGCTCCCGTCGCAGCACTCGCCTTTCCTCCAGGTGGGCGGTGGCGCGGCGGCGACAGGGGCGGTGAGCTCCTTCGGCTACAGCGGGACGATCGCGTCGTGCGTGGTCGACGCCGAGCGGCGGACGTCGCGTCCTCGGCTTCGGTCGGGCGCCGTGCCGGTTGTGATGCAGCGCCGTCGCTTCGAGCCGTGGGCGGGCTGCCACCCGCTGCGCGCCCACGTGTCGAGCGCCGGCAGCTTGACGACTGCGTGGAGCCCGGCGGTCGGTCGGCTGGCGGCGTTGGTCGCCGACCACATCGTCGACGGCCAGGTCGTCTTTCCCGCGGCGGCATATCTGGAGATGGCGCGGGCGGCCAGCGCAGCCGCCCACGGCAGCGTGCCGTCAGCAGGCGCTGCGCTGCGGCGCGTCTTCTTTCTGAAGCCGCTCGTGCTCGACGGCTCGGCGGCGCGCGTGAGCTGTGAGGTCGACACGGCCGCAGGCCGGTTCGAGATCAGCGGCGTCGGCGAGGAGCCGACAGATCACACGGCGCACTGCGCCGGCGCGTCGTGTCCGCTCGCTTCGCCGAGCGCGCCGCTCGACCTGCCGTCCGTCGCCAGCGCTTGCACATGCGCGTCGGGTGTCGGCCGGCTTTACGCCCACTCGCGCTCGATGCGGCTTGAGTACGGCCCGGAGTACCGCACGCTCGCTGCGGCGCGCTTGTCCACGGCCGGCGCAGCGACGGCACGGCTGCACAAGCGCTCCAGGCTGTCTGGCACGCAGCTGCACCCGGCCGACCTGGACGGCGCGTTGCAGCTCACGCAGCTGGTCTCCGAGACCCGCTCCGGCTGCACTCGGCTGCCGTTCGCCGTGGGCGCAGCCGCTCTGCAACAGGCCTCGGGGCGGCTCTGGTCGGTCGCTGCTCGGGAGAGCGGGAGCTTGGTCAGCGTCTGGCTCGCGGGCGCGGCGTGTGGCAGCGCGCCAGCGGTGCGGCTGAGCGGCTTTGAGAGCCGCGCGATTGCGGAGTCGGCTGCGTCGGATCGCGAGCGGCATTTGTACACTACGGCGTGGCGGCCGGCCGGCGGGGCGGCTCTCCCTATCTCTGCTGGCGGCGCTGACGGTGGCGCGCTGGTGCTCGGGAGGTGCCGGCCGCGGCTGCGGCGCTCGCCGGCGGCCGAGGTCACCGGCGGGCGGCAGACGGACTCTTTGGTGTTGGCGCCCAGTGGCATCGCGGGCACGAGCGCGGCAGCCGAGCCGGTCGGGGCGCTTGAGGCGGCGCTGGGCGTGGTGCGCTCACAGCTGGCGGGTGGCTCTCTCCAAGTGCCTCTGTGGCTGGTGCGGGCTTGCGGCGCTCGCTCGCGGGACAGCCACGAGCACCAGCCCGGCTTGCTGGGACTCGCGCGGTCGGCGCGGAGCGAGGCGCCATCGGCGCCGCTCGGTTGTCTTGCGCTCTCTGGCGCGGCGGCGGTGTCCCTCGTGGAGCCGGCGGCGGCGGCGCTGGCCCTCCAGGGCTTGGCCGAGCCGGAGCTGCGCCTCGTGGGCGACGTCGCTCTCGCGCCTCGGCTCGTCGCTGCGGCGTGCTCGCTTTCGTGCCCCATCGCGCTTCGCTTTGACGCGCGGGGCTCGCTGACGAGTTTGCGCGTGGTGCCGCAGCCGGTCGGGAGCGGCGTAGCGGCGGACGGCGAGGCTTCGTTGCGGGTGTGGTGCGTCGGCCTCAACTTTCGCGACGTGCTCAACGTGCTGGGTGCGTACCCCGGCGACCCGGGTGCGCCCGGCTCGGATTGTGCGGCGCGCGTGGCGGCTCTCGGCGCGGCGGCGGGGGCGGAGCTGGCGGTTGGCGGGTGTGTGCTTGGCCACGCGGTGGCGGCGCTTGCCTCGCTCGCCCGCGCTGACGTGCGGCTGCTGGCGGCGCGGCCGGCGGAGCTGTCGCCCGCCTCGGCGTGCACTCTGCCGACGGTGTGGAGCACGGTGCATGCCGCGTTTTGCGGCTCGCGTCCGCTGGCCCGGCACCGGCTGCTCGTGCATGCGGGCGCGGGCGGAGTTGGCCTTGCGGCTGTGGAGTACAGCCACTGGCTTCGGCTAGCGACTGGCACGACCGCGGGGCGGCCACGCAAGCACCGCGTTCTGCGCGCATTGGGCCTGGAGGGGGGGATGGGCAGCTCGCGCGACGGCGGCGCGTACGCTTCGGGCTTGGCGGCCTTGCGCTCGCGGCGGTTGGACTGCGTGCTCAACAGCCTCTCCGGCGACTTCATCGCCTGTTCGGTGGCGCTGGCTCGCGAGGGCGGCACCTTCGCCGAGATCGGCAAGCGCGGCGTGTGGTCGTCGGCGCGGGCGTGGTCGTCGGCGGCGCATCTGCGCTACGAGGTGCTTGCGCTCGACGCGACGATGGAGCACGCTCCGGAGTGGACCCAACATGCGCTGCGCCAGCTGGCGGCGCGGGCCCGGCGGCTCGTGTTGCACGGGCTGCCGCTGGAGCTCTTCGACCTGGAGAGCGAGGCGGTCGCGGCGTTCCGGTACCTGCAGAGCGGCTCAAACTCCGGGAAGGTGGTGCTCCGCGTGGCCTTCCTCGAGCAGAGCGCGCACGGGTCGCACATCGTGACGGGCGGGAGCGGGGGCCTGGCTTTTGTGACCGCGGGCTGGCTGGTCGGCCGAGGCGCGTCGGCGGTGGTGCTCTCCTCGCGCAGCGGGCGAGTGGGCGCGGCGCAGGCGGACACATCGGCGGGGTCGGTGGCCTCGTGTGCCTTGCTCGCGGCTCGCTGCGACGCGTCGGAGCCTGCCGACGTGCGCCGTCTCGTGGGCGTGCGGGAGTGGCGCGGCGTGTGGCACGCGGCGGGCGTGCTGTCGGACGGGCTGCTGCGCTCGCAGACGGCGGCGTCGCTGCGCCGCGTGTACGCGCCCAAGGCGGGCGGCGCGTGGTGCCTGCAGAGCGCGTGCGCCGCTGCGCCGCTCGACTCGTTCGTGCTCTTCTCGTCGATGGCTGCCCTGTTTGGCGCGGGCCAGTCGAACTACAGCGCGGCCAACTGCTGCCTCGACGCGCTGTCGGCTCGGCGGCGCGGCGACGGGCTGGCGGCGTCGAGCGTGCAGTGGGGCCCGTGGGCGGACGTGGGTATGGCGGCGGGCGGCGCGGTGGGCGGTCGGCTGCAGGCGACGGGGGTCGGCTTGATCACGGCCGCTCAGGGCCGGGCGGCACTGGCGGCTGCCGCGGTGCCGCAGGCGCCTCCAGTCTTGGCCTTGTTGGTGGTCGACTGGCGTCGGCTTGTGCGGACGATGGGCACGACGCCACCGCTGCTGTCGTCGCTGGCGGCCTCGAGTGGCTCCGCCGCGCCGAAGGCCGCCGTCGCTGCCGGCGGGTCTGCAGGCAAGAGCACGGTTGACCTCGACCTTGTCCTGGAGATCGCTCGCCAAATCGCGGGAGGCGGGCTCGACGCGGACGTGCCGCTGATGGACGCGGGCGTCGACTCGCTCGGCGCCGTCGAGCTGCGCAACCAGCTGCATGCCGCGGCGGGCGACTCGCTCTCTCTGCCAAGCACACTGGTTTTCGACCACCCGACGGCGCGCCAGCTCGCTGCCTTCTTTGCCTCGGCTGCTCTCGGCGGCGAGGCGACGGCGGCGGCGGCGTCTCGTCGGTCGGCGGTCGGCGGTAGCGTGGAGGCCTCTCGCTTCTCACGCGACTCGGTGCGCGCGGGCGGGCTGCAGATGGTGCTGCCGTCGGGTGTCGCATCTGCGGCGTCGCTGAGCCGCGTTGGGGCGTGCGCCGCCAACCTCGTGTCGGAGGTGCCCGTCGAGCGTTGGACGCTTGAGGCGCCGAGCCCCTCCGACGGCGAGGTGGCGAGGCGCGTGCGGCACGGCGCGTTTGTCCACGGCGCGGAGCTGTTTGACCACGCGCGTTTCGGCGTGTCGAGCGCCGAGGCGCAGTCGATGGACCCGCAGCAGCGGTTGCTGCTCGAGCGGGGCTACGAGTCGCTGCGCGGCGCAGGCCTCGAGCGGGCGGCCCTGGCGGACACGGCGTTCGGCGTCTTTGTGGCGATCGCGAGCGTGGACTTCAATTTGCTGATGAACGCGTCGCCGGCGGGCGGGAGCGTGTACGCCGCGACGGGGAGCGCGCACTCGATCGCTTCAGGCCGGCTTTCCTACGTGCTCGGCCTGCAGGGCCCGTGCGTCTCGTACGACACGGCGTGCTCCGCCGCGCTGGTGGCGTGCCACGCCGGCTTGCGGGCGACGCAGCTGCGCGAGAGCATCGGCAGCCTCGTAGCGGGTGTCAGCTTGATGCTGCTGCCGAACTTGGGCACGTGCTTCGCTGTGGCTGGCATGCTGTCAGCGCGCGGCCGGTGCCACACCTTCGACGCTCGGGCCGACGGCTACGCGCGCGGCGAGGCGTGCTGCGCGCTCACGCTGCGCACGACGGGCGTGGAGGCGTGCACGCTCGCGGTGCGAGGCGGCTGCGTGCGGCAAGACGGGAAGAGCGCGAGCCTGACCGCGCCGAACGGGCGAGCCCAGCACGCGCTGCTCGACGCGAGTCTGGTGGACGCGGCCCTGCCGTGCGAGGACCTGTCGATGTGGGAGGCGCACGGCACGGGCACGGCGCTGGGCGACCCGATCGAGATGCGCTCGCTCGCCGCGGCGGTGCTGACGTACCTCGGCGACGAGTGCGCGTTGCCCACCGGGAGCGTCAAGGCCAACGCCGGCCACGGCGAGCCGGCGGCGGGCGGCTCCGGGCTGCTGCGGCTGGCCGTCGGTCTTGGCGGCGGCGTCGCGTCGCCGAACGCGCAGCTACGCACGGTCAACCCGCACATTGCGGCGGTCTTTGAGGGCTCGCCGACCGCGTCGCTCCCGTCGCAGCACTCGCCTTTCCTCCAGGTGGGCGGTGGCGCGGCGGCGACAGGGGCGGTGAGCTCCTTCGGCTACAGCGGGACGATCGCGTCGTGCGTGGTCGACGCCGAGCGGCGGACGTCGCGTCCTCGGCTTCGGTCGGGCGCCGTGCCGCTTGTGATGCAGCGCCGTCGCTTCGAGCCGTGGGCGGGCTGCCACCCGCTGCGCGCCCACGTGTCGAGCGCCGGCAGCTTGACGATTGCGTGGAGCCCGGCGGTCGGTCGGCTGGCGGCGTTGGTCTCCGACCACATCGTCGACGGCCAGGTCGTCTTTCCCGCGGCGGCATATCTGGAGATGGCGCGGGCGGCCAGCGCAGCCGCCCACGGCAGCGTGCCGTCAGCAGGCGCTGCGCTGCGGCGCGTCTTCTTTCTGAAGCCGCTCGTGCTCGACGGCTCGGCGGCGCGCGTGAGCTGTGAGGTCGACACGGCCGCAGGCCGGTTCGAGATCAGCGGCGTCGGCGAGGAGCCGACAGATCACACGGCGCACTGCGCCGGCGCGTCGTGTCCGCTCGCTTCGCCGAGCGCGCCGCTCGACCTGCCGTCCGTCGCCAGCGCTTGCACATGCGCGGCGGGTGTCGGCCGGCTTTACGCCCACTCGCGCTCGATGCGGCTTGAGTACGGCCCGGAGTACCGCACGCTCGCTGCGGCGCGCTTGTCCACGGCCGGCGCAGCGACGGCACGGCTGCACAAGCGCTCCAGGCTGTCTGGCACGCAGCTGCACCCGGCCGACCTGGACGGCGCGTTGCAGCTCACGCAGCTGGTCTCCGAGACCCGCCCCGGCTGCACTCGGCTGCCGTTCGCCGTGGGCGCAGCCGCTCTGCAACAGGCGTCGGGGCGGCTCTGGTCGGTCGCTGCTCGGGAGAGCGGGAGCTTGGTCAGCGTCTGGCTCGCGGGCGCGGCGTGTGGCAGCGCGCCAGCGGTGCGGCTGAGCGGCTTTGAGAGCCGCGCGATTGCGGAGTCGGCTGCGTCGGATCGCGAGCGGCATTTGTACACTACGGCGTGGCGGCCGGCCGGCGGGGCGGCTCTCCCTATCTCTGCTGGCGGCGCTGACGGTGGCGCGCTGGTGCTCGGGAGGTGCCGGCCGCGGCTGCGGCGCTCGCCGGCGGCCGAGGTCACCGGCGGGCGGCAGACGGACTCTTTGGTGTTGGCGCCCAGTGGCATCGCGGGCACGAGCGCGGCAGCCGAGCCGGTCGGGGCGCTTGAGGCGGCGCTGGGCGTGGTGCGCTCACAGCTGGCGGGTGGCTCTCTCCAAGTGCCTCTGTGGCTGGTGCGGGCTTGCGGCGCTCGCTCGCGGGACAGCCACGAGCACCAGCCCGGCTTGCTGGGACTCGCGCGGTCGGCGCGGAGCGAGGCGCCATCGGCGCCGCTCGGTTGTCTTGCGCTCTCTGGCGCGGCGGCGGTGTCCCTCGTGGAGCCGGCGGCGGCGGCGCTGGCCCTCCAGGGCTTGGCCGAGCCGGAGCTGCGCCTCGTGGGCGACGTCGCTCTCGCGCCTCGGCTCGTCGCTGCGGCGTGCTCGCTTTCGTGCCCCATCGCGCTTCGCTTTGACGCGCGGGGCTCGCTGACGAGTTTGCGCGTGGTGCCGCAGCCGCTCAACAAAAGCGTTGCCGCGGACGACGAGGCTTCGTTGCGGGTGTGGTGCGTCGGCCTCAACTTTCGCGACGTGCTCAACGTGCTGGGTGCGTACCCCGGCGACCCGGGTGCGCCCGGCTCGGATTGTGCGGCGCGCGTGGCGGCTCTCGGCGCGGCGGCGGGGGCGGAGCTGGCGGTTGGCGGGTGTGTGCTTGGCCACGCGGTGGCGGCGCTTGCCTCGCTCGCCCGCGCTGACGTGCGGCTGCTGGCGGCGCGGCCGGCGGAGCTGTCGCCCGCCTCGGCGTGCACTCTGCCGACGGTGTGGAGCACGGTGCATGCCGCGTTTTGCGGCTCGCGTCCGCTGGCCCGGCACCGGCTGCTCGTGCATGCGGGCGCGGGCGGAGTTGGCCTTGCGGCTGTGGAGTACAGCCACTGGCTTCGGCTAGCGACTGGCACGACCGCGGGGCGGCCACGCAAGCACCGCGTTCTGCGCGCATTGGGCCTGGAGGGGGGGATGGGCAGCTCGCGCGACGGCGGCGCGTACGCTTCGGGCTTGGCGGCCTTGCGCTCGCGGCGGTTGGACTGCGTGCTCAACAGCCTCTCCGGCGACTTCATCGCCTGTTCGGTGGCGCTGGCTCGCGAGGGCGGCACCTTCGCCGAGATCGGCAAGCGCGGCGTGTGGTCGTCGGCGCGGGCGTGGTCGTCGGCGGCGCATCTGCGCTACGAGGTGCTTGCGCTCGACGCGACGATGGAGCACGCTCCGGAGTGGACCCAACATGCGCTGCGCCAGCTGGCGGCGCGGGCCCGGCGGCTCGTGTTGCACGGGCTGCCGCTGGAGCTCTTCGACCTGGAGAGCGAGGCGGTCGCGGCGTTCCGGTACCTGCAGAGCGGCTCAAACTCCGGGAAGGTGGTGCTCCGCGTGGCCTTCCTCGAGCAGAGCGCGCACGGGTCGCACATCGTGACGGGCGGGAGCGGGGGCCTGGCTTTTGTGACCGCGGGCTGGCTGGTCGGCCGAGGCGCGTCGGCGGTGGTGCTCTCCTCGCGCAGCGGGCGAGTGGGCGCGGCGCAGGCGGACACATCGGCGGGGTCGGTGGCCTCGTGTGCCTTGCTCGCGGCTCGCTGCGACGCGTCGGAGCCCGCCGACGTGCGCCGTCTCGTGGGCGTGCGGGAGTGGCGCGGCGTGTGGCACGCGGCGGGCGTGCTGTCGGACGGGCTGCTGCGCTCGCAGACGGCAGCGTCGCTGCGCCGCGTGTACGCGCCCAAGGCGGGCGGCGCGTGGTGCCTGCAGAGCGCGTGCGCCGCTGCGCCGCTCGACTCGTTCGTGCTCTTCTCGTCGATGGCTGCCCTGTTTGGCGCGGGCCAGTCGAACTACAGCGCGGCCAACTGCTGCCTCGACGCGCTGTCGGCTCGGCGGCGCGGCGACGGGCTGGCGGCGTCGAGCGTGCAGTGGGGCCCGTGGGCGGACGTGGGTATGGCGGCGGGCGGCGCGGTGGGCGGTCGGCTGCAGGCGACGGGGGTCGGCTTGATCACGGCCGCTCAGGGCCGGGCGGCACTGGCGGCTGCCGCGGTGCCGCAGGCGCCTCCAGTCTTGGCCTTGTTGGTGGTCGACTGGCGTCGGCTTGTGCGGACGATGGGCACGACGCCACCGCTGCTGTCGTCGCTGGCGGCCTCGGGTGGCTCCGCCGCGCCGAAGGCCGCCGTCGCTGCCGGCGGGTCTGCAGGCAAGAGCACGGTTGACCTCGACCTTGTCCTGGAGATCGCTCGCCAAATCGCGGGAGGCGGGCTCGACGCGGACGTGCCGCTGATGGACGCGGGCGTCGACTCGCTCGGCGCCGTCGAGCTGCGCAACCAGCTGCATGCCGCGGCGGGCGACTCGCTCTCTCTGCCAAGCACACTGGTTTTCGACCACCCGACGGCGCGCCAGCTCGCTGCCTTCTTTGCCTCGGCTGCTCTCGGCGGCGAGGCGACGGCGGCGGCGGCGTCTCGTCGGTCGGCGGTCGGCGGTAGCGTGGAGGCCTCTCGCTTCTCACGCGACTCGGTGCGCGCGGGCGGGCTGCAGATGGTGCTGCCGTCGGGTGTCGCATCTGCGGCGTCGCTGAGCCGCGTTGGGGCGTGCGCCGCCAACCTCGTGTCGGAGGTGCCCGTCGAGCGTTGGACGCTTGAGGCGCCGAGCCCCTCCGACGGCGAGGTGGCGAGGCGCGTGCGGCACGGCGCGTTTGTCCACGGCGCGGAGCTGTTTGACCACGCGCGTTTCGGCGTGTCGAGCGCCGAGGCGCAGTCGATGGACCCGCAGCAGCGGTTGCTGCTCGAGCGGGGCTACGAGTCGCTGCGTGGCGCAGGCCTCGAGCGGGCGGCCCTGGCGGACACGGCGTTCGGCGTCTTTGTGGCGATCGCGAGCGTGGACTTCAATTTGCTGATGAACGCGTCGCCGGCGGGCGGGAGCGTGTACGCCGCGACGGGGAGCGCGCACTCGATCGCTTCAGGCCGGCTTTCCTACGTGCTCGGCCTGCAGGGCCCGTGCGTCTCGTACGACACGGCGTGCTCCGCCGCGCTGGTGGCGTGCCACGCCGGCTTGCGGGCGACGCAGCTGCGCGAGAGCATCGGCAGCCTCGTAGCGGGCGTCAGCTTGATGCTGCTGCCGAACTTGGGCACGAGCTTCGCTGTGGCTGGCATGCTGTCAGCGCGCGGCCGGTGCCACACCTTCGACGCTCGGGCCGACGGCTACGCGCGCGGCGAGGCGTGCTGCGCGCTCACGCTGCGCACGACGGGCGTGGAGGCGTGCACGCTCGCGGTGCGAGGCGGCTGCGTGCGGCAGGACGGGAAGAGCGCGAGCCTGACCGCGCCGAACGGGCGAGCCCAGCACGCGCTGCTCGACGCGACTCTGGTGGACGCGGCCCTGCCGTGCGAGGACCTGTCGATGTGGGAGGCGCACGGCACGGGCACGGCGCTGGGCGACCCGATCGAGATGCGCTCGCTCGCCGCGGCGGTGCTGACGTACCTCGGCGACGAGTGCGCGTTGCCCACCGGGAGCGTCAAGGCCAACGCCGGCCACGGCGAGCCGGCGGCGGGCGGCTCCGGGCTGCTGCGGCTGGCCGTCGGTCTTGGCGGCGGCGTCGCGTCGCCGAACGCGCAGCTACGCACGGTCAACCCGCACATTGCGGCGGTCTTTGAGGGCGCGCCGACCGCGTCGCTCCCGTCGCAGCACTCGCCTTTCCTCCAGGTGGGCGGTGGCGCGGCGGCGACAGGGGCGGTGAGCTCCTTCGGCTACAGCGGGACGATCGCGTCGTGTGTGGTCGACGCCGAGCGGCGGACGTCGGGTCCTCGGCTTCGGTCGGGCGCCGTGCCGCTTGTGATGCAGCGCCGTCGCTTCGAGCCGTGGGCGGGCTGCCACCCGCTGCGCGCCCACGTGTCGAGCGCCGGCAGCTTGACGACTGCGTGGAGCCCGGCGGTCGGTCGGCTGGCGGCGTTGGTCTCCGACCACATCGTCGACGGCCAGGTCGTCTTTCCCGCGGCGGCATATCTGGAGATGGCGCGGGCGGCCAGCGCAGCCGCCCACGGCAGCGTGCCGTCAGCAGGCGCTGCGCTGCGGCGCGTCTTCTTTCTGAAGCCGCTCGTGCTCGACGGCTCGGCGGCGCGCGTGAGCTGTGAGGTCGACACGGCCGCAGGCCGGTTCGAGATCAGCGGCGTCGGCGAGGAGCCGACAGATCACACGGCGCACTGCGCCGGCGCGTCGTGTCCGCTCGCGTCGCCGAGCGCGCCGCTCGACCTGCCGTCCGTCGCCAGCGCTTGCACATGCGCGGCGGGTGTCGGCCGGCTTTACGCCCACTCGCGCTCGATGCGGCTTGAGTACGGCCCGGAGTACCGCACGCTCGCTGCGGCGCGCTTGTCCACGGCCGGCGCAGCGACGGCACGGCTGCACAAGCGCTCCAGGCTGTCTGGCACGCAGCTGCACCCGGCCGACCTGGACGGCGCGTTGCAGCTCACGCAGCTGGTCTCCGAGACCCGCCCCGGCTGCACTCGGCTGCCGTTCGCCGTGGGCGCAGCCGCTCTGCAACAGGCCTCGGGGCGGCTCTGGTCGGTCGCTGCTCGGGAGAGCGGGAGCTTGGTCAGCGTCTGGCTCGCGGGCGCGGCGTGTGGCAGCGCGCCAGCGGTGCGGCTGAGCGGCTTTGAGAGCCGCGCGATTGCGGAGTCGGCTGCGTCGGATCGCGAGCGGCATTTGTACACTACGGCGTGGCGGCCGGCCGGTGGGGCGGCTCTCCCTATCTCTGCTGGCGGCGCTGACGGTGGCGCGCTGGTGCTCGGGAGGTGCCGGCCGCGGCTGCGGCGCTGGCCGGCGGCCGAGGTCACCGGCGGGCGGCAGACGGACTCTTTGGTGTTGGCGCCCAGTGGCATCGCGGGCACGAGCGCGGCAGCCGAGCCGGTCGGGGCGCTTGAGGCGGCGCTGGGCGTGGTGCGCTCACAGCTGGCGGGTGGCTCTCTCCAAGTGCCTCTGTGGCTGGTGCGGGCTTGCGGCGCTCGCTCGCGGGACAGCCACGAGCACCAGCCCGGCTTGCTGGGACTCGCGCGGTCGGCGCGGAGCGAGGCGCCATCGGCGCCGCTCGGTTGTCTTGCGCTCTCTGGCGCGGCGGCGGTGTCCCTCGTGGAGCCGGCGGCGGCGGCGCTGGCCCTCCAGGGCTTGGCCGAGCCGGAGCTGCGCCTCGTGGGCGACGTCGCTCTCGCGCCTCGGCTCGTCGCTGCGGCGTGCTCGCTTTCGTGCCCCATCGCGCTTCGCTTTGACGCGCGGGGCTCGCTGACGAGTTTGCGCGTGGTGCCGCAGCCGGTCGGGAGCGGCGTAGCGGCGGACGGCGAGGCTTCGTTGCGGGTGTGGTGCGTCGGCCTCAACTTTCGCGACGTGCTCAACGTGCTGGGTGCGTACCCCGGCGACCCGGGTGCGCCCGGCTCGGATTGTGCGGCGCGCGTGGCGGCTCTCGGCGCGGCGGCGGGGGCGGAGCTGGCGGTTGGCGGGTGTGTGCTTGGCCACGCGGTGGCGGCGCTTGCCTCGCTCGCCCGCGCTGACGTGCGGCTGCTGGCGGCGCGGCCGGCGGAGCTGTCGCCCGCCTCGGCGTGCACTCTGCCGACGGTGTGGAGCACGGTGCATGCCGCGTTTTGCGGCTCGCGTCCGCTGGCCCGGCACCGGCTGCTCGTGCATGCGGGCGCGGGCGGAGTTGGCTTTGCGGCTGTGGAGTACAGCCACTGGCTTCGGCTAGCGACTGGCACGACCGCGGGGCGGCCACGCAAGCACCGCGTTCTGCGCGCACTGGGCCTGGAGGGGGGGATGGGCAGCTCGCGCGACGGCGGCGCGTACGCTTCGGGCTTGGCGGCCTTGCGCTCGCGGCGGTTGGATTGCGTGCTCAACAGCCTCTCCGGCGACTTCATCGCCTGTTCGGTGGCGCTGGCTCGCGAGGGCGGCACCTTCGCCGAGATCGGCAAGCGCGGCGTGTGGTCGTCGGCGCGGGCGTGGTCGTCGGCGGCGCATCTGCGCTACGAGGTGCTTGCGCTCGACGCGACGATGGAGCACGCTCCGGAGTGGACCCAACATGCGCTGCGCCAGCTGGCGGCGCGGGCCCGGCGGCTCGTGTTGCACGGGCTGCCGCTGGAGCTCTTCGACCTGGAGAGCGAGGCGGTCGCGGCGTTCCGGTACCTGCAGAGCGGCTCAAACTCCGGGAAGGTGGTGCTCCGCGTGGCCTTCCTCGAGCAGAGCGCGCACGGGTCGCACATCGTGACGGGCGGGAGCGGGGGCCTGGCTTTTGTGACCGCGGGCTGGCTGGTCGGCCGAGGCGCGTCGGCGGTGGTGCTCTCCTCGCGCAGCGGGCGAGTGGGCGCGGCGCAGGCGGACACATCGGCGGGGTCGGTGGCCTCGTGTGCCTTGCTCGCGGCTCGCTGCGACGCGTCGGAGCCTGCCGACGTGCGCCGTCTCGTGGGCGTGCGGGATTGGCGCGGCGTGTGGCACGCGGCGGGCGTGCTGTCGGACGGGCTGCTGCGCTCGCAGACGGCGGCGTCGCTGCGCCGCGTGTACGCGCCCAAGGCGGGCGGCGCGTGGTGCCTGCAGAGCGCGTGCGCCGCTGCGCCGCTCGACTCGTTCGTGCTCTTCTCGTCGATGGCTGCCCTGTTTGGCGCGGGCCAGTCGAACTACAGCGCGGCCAACTGCTGCCTCGACGCGCTGTCGGCTCGGCGGCGCGGCGACGGGCTGGCGGCGTCGAGCGTGCAGTGGGGCCCGTGGGCGGACGTGGGTATGGCGGCGGGCAGCGCGGTGAGTGCACGCTTACAGGCGTCTGGCCTACGGCAGATCAGCTTGCAGGAGGGGGCGGCCGGTCTGGTCGCGGCGCTCAGCGCTCGCGAGCCGGCCGTGTTTGCGCTGTTTCTCACCGATTGGGATCGGTTCTTGGAGTCTCTACCCGCCGTCCCACTGCTGCTTGACAGGTTCAAGCCCGCCGCCACCGCTCGTGGTGCAAGCTCGACCTTGACCAACCAGCTTCCGATGGAGCAAGTACTGCGAATTGCGCAGGGAGTCGCGGGGGCTGAGCTCGACCCGGACAAGCCTCTCATGGAAGCGGGCTTGGACTCACTCGGCGCCGTCGAGCTGCGCAACCAGCTGCAGCGCGCAGCCGGCGATGGGTTGGAGCTGCCGTCGACTTTCATTTTCGACGCGCCGACCGTCCGCGCCATCTCTGCGCTGGTGCAGGCGCCGGAGGAGAACCCGGGCTCTGAGTTGGGCCTCGCGCCGCCAGTGATGACCTCGTCATCACAGACGCTGGTCGGGAGCAGCGTTCGCCTACCGGCGGGCGTTGCTACGCAGCACACATTTTCACTGGTCCTTGCTTCTTGCGGAGACGTCGCTGCCGAGGTCCCGCTGGAACGGTGGGACGTGGGAAGCGCTGTCGCCGACGCGGTCGCTGGCGGACTGGACGATGTGGTGTGCAGCCGGATGAGGTACGGAGCTTTCCTCCGCCAGGCTGACCTCTTCGACGCATCCGCCTTCTCTGTCTCGAAGAGCGAGGCGTTTGCCATGGACCCACAGCAGCGCCTGTGCCTCGAGCACGGCTACGCGGCTTTGCACGCCGCAGGGCTTCTGCGCGCCTCGCTCCTGGGCCGGGAGACCGGAGTCTTCCTGGCGCTCTCGTGCCAAGACTTCTCGAGGGTGCTCCTCCAGTCGGACGCGTGGCGCTCCGTCTACGCTGCCACCGGCAGCAGCCAGTCCGTAGCAGCTGGGAGGCTCTCCTTCGCGCTTGGCATGCAGGGACCTTGCACGCAAGTCGACACCGCCTGCTCCGCAGGGCTGACGGCCACCAATCTGGCGTGCGGCACTCTGCAGCTCGGCGAGTGCCGCGAGGCGGTGGTCCTGGCGGTCAACGTGATGCTCGTGACCGACGTCCACCAGGCGTTCGCGATCGCGGGCATGACATCGCCTCGAGGCAAGTGCCACACCTTCGACGAGAGGGCGGATGGCTACGTGCGCGCTGACTCTTGCGGCGCGGCGGTCTTCGAGCCGCAAGACGAGGGCCAGAGGAGCCGATGCGCGGTCGCTGGCGTGACTGTCCGCTGCGATGGACGGAGTGCTAGCCTCACCGCCCCGAACGGTCAGGCGCAGTGCCGTCTGATCAGCGCGGCGATAGCGCGGGCGGGGGTGCGCGCTGCGGACGTGCAAGTGGAGGAGGCACACGGGACGGGAACCGCGCTGGGCGACCCGATCGAGATGCGGAGTCTATCGACGAGCGTCTTTGTTCCTGCCGCCAAGGAGGGCGCGGCACAGACGACTGTCGGGAGCCTCAAGGCCAACGCGGGCCACGCCGAGCCTGGCGCTGGATTCAGCGGGTTTCAGGCGTTGGTGCTTGCATTGCAAGGCTCCGCGACGTCGCCGAACGCGCAGCTCCGGAGAGTGAACCCCCACGTCCACGATGTGCTCTCCATCGTGCCTTGCGGACTACCCACGGCACCAAGCAACGTGGGTCACGGGCAGTCGGGTCTTATGTACGGTGCAGTCTCCTCCTTTGGCTACAGCGGCACCATTGTCCACGCCGTCCTCTCGTGCTCGGCCCGCGCGGGCGAGCCGGCGCGGCCGCCGTCCGCTCCGGGCTTGGTCTACCGCAGGCAGCGCTTCTCGTGGCAGGACGAGCTGCACCCGCTGGCGCAGCAGCCGGGCCGCGCCGGCGAGGCCCACCTCTTCCGCTCGCCGGCCCGGGGCCGGCTAGTTGCCCTCATGGCCGACCACGTCGTGCAAGGCCGCGTCATCTTCCCCGCGGCCGGCTACCTCGAGCTGGCGCGGGCCGCATGCCAGGCGAGCACGCTTTACGCGGGCAGCCGTGCGTGCCATCTGCGCCGCGTCCTCTTCATGCAGCCCTGCGTGGTGGAGCCGGCTGCCGACCAGCACATCGAGTGCGAGGTGTCGGGTGCGCTCGACAGTCTTGAGATTCGCAGCGGCGCGGGCGCCGCCCTCGCCGAGCGGATGGTGCATTGCGCGGCGTCACCCTCGGGTGGCGGGGCGGGAGGCGCGGCGGGCGCGCGGTCGCTCGCCGCGCCAGCGCAGCGCGCGTGCTGCCCGCACGCCGCCGATGCAGCTCGGATCTACGGCGACTTCCGCGCCGTTGGGCTCGAGTACGGCCGCGCCTTCCAGACGCTCGCTCAGGGCTGGGCGTCGGCTCTCTCGGGCACGGCGATCGCGTCTCTGCGCCCCCGACGCAAGGCGTGCCTCGAGGGCACTCTCCTCCACCCCGCGGACCTTGACGGCGCGCTGCAGGCCTCGATTCTGATGGAGCGCGAGCGCTCGAGCGAGACTCGACTCCCCTTCTCGGTGGCAGAGGCGGCGCTCAGCGGCTTGCACGGCAACATGGTCGCGATGCTGAGCCGGCGAGGCGCCTCCACGGCTGACGTCGTCCTGTCTGGCCTCGGGAAGGCGACGAGGCTCGACCACTTCGAGAGCCGTGTGCTCAAGAAGGGCGCCGCCGGCAAGGCTGCCTCGGCCGCCGGCAAGGCTGCCCCGGCCGCCGACTGGTCCTACGCGTGCGAGTGGGCTCCGGTGGCCTCCGCCGCGGCCGATCCGAGCCAGGAGGCCCGCGTCTTGCTCGTGGGCGACCGGCGCGGCACGCTGGCCGCGGCGCTCGGGCGGAGCATCGCTCGGCGCGCGGAGAGCGGGTCCGCCTCGGAGCTGCGCGAGGCCGGCGCTCTCGATGGCGTCGTCCTCGTCGCGCCGCCCCGGGCTGCGGCCGCGCTGGGCAGCATCGCGTCGGCGCTGACCATCGTGCAGTGGCAGATGGACCTGCCCGCCGCTGTGCCGGTGTGGGTCTGCACGCACCTGACCCAGCCCGTCGCCTCCGTGCGGCGGAGCTCGAGCGAGCACGCCGGTCTGTGGGGCTTTGCGCGTGCGTGTCTGCAAGAGGCAGCCGGGCTGCCGCTGTACAACCTGGACCTCGACTTCGGGTGCGCGCAGTCGCTGCGTGGCGCGGCCGAGCTCGTGCGCTCGCGCGCGCTGGCATCCGAGGACGGGTTCGTCCACGGCTTGCGAGTGGGACCCGCCGCCGAGAACGAGGCCGCGCTCCGCGGCGGCTCGATGCACGTTCGCCGGCTGACCTTGCGGAGATCGCCGGCGGCGTTGCAGTCGATCGTCCTGACTTGCGAGCCCCGCGGCTCATTCGCGAACCTCAAGCTCGAGCCTCGGGGCGACCACTCGTCCCGCGATGGCAACGAGGTGGCGCCCACCGAGGTCAGCATCGCCGTGCATGCGGTCGGCCTCAACTTCCGGGATGTCCTGGATGCGTTGGGTGAACTTCCGTCGGAGTACCTTGGCACGCTTGGTTCCGACTGCGCTGGCATGGTGGAGCACGCGGGCTCGCAGGTCGCTCACATTGCTCAGCGCGACGCTTGCTTCGGTCAGGCGAAGAATTGCCTCGCATCGCATGTGTGCTGCGACGCGCGATTGCAGGTGCGCAAGCCGAGCGCGGTGAGCTTTGAGGCCGCGACCACTCTGATCAGCACCTGGTGCACTGTGCACGTGGCGTTCGTCCGGTCCCGGCTCGTCGGCTCGCGGCGGCTGCTCGTGCACGCTACGGCCGGCGGCGTTGGCCTGGCGGCTTCGGAGTACGCCGCGTGGCTTCGCCTCCGGCTCTTTGGCACCGCGGGCGCCCCGCGCAAGCACCACCTCCTGCGGTGCTGCGGCGTGCGCTCGACTGCGAGCTCTCGCCAAGCTGCCTCGTGCGGGCATTCGCTCGCATCGCAGCTTGGCGGGCGGCGCCTGGACGGCGTGCTCAACAGCCTGTCCGCGGACTTCATCTCCACCTCCTTCGCGCTCCTTGCGCCGGCCGGCCGGTTCGAAGAGATCGGGAAGCGCTCCGTGTGGAGCGTTGCGCGAGCCGCCGCCGCCGTGCCGAGCGCCTATTCCGTCCTCGACATGGCGCTCGACGTCCCCGCCGACCCTGACTGGTACTCTGCAGAGGTGCTGCAGGTCCTCGCGCGGCGGCTCGAGGCGGTTGTGGTCCACGGCCTCCCGCTCCGCAGCTTCGGCATCGAGCGCGAGGCACGAGACGCGTTCCGGTTCCTCTCGGGCGGCGCAAACCTCGGCAAGGTGGTGATCACGATACCTGTCCGGTTGGGTGCGCCAAGCTCGTTGGCGGTGGCGTTTGCGCCGCTCTGCGAGCTGCTTGATGCCCACGTGTCGGACGCGGTGCGCGCGCTCGAGGACTTGCCGCAGGTGACGGACGCCCACGAGGTGCTTGAGAGGGCTGTGAGGCACGACATCGCCCGCGCCCTGAGCGGTTTGGACCCTTCTGCCATCCCCAAGTGGCACCACCGGCTGCTATATGAGTGGTGCGCCGCCATCGAGCCGCCCACAGAGCCCGCATCGTACGAAGACGTGCTCGCAGTGTCGCCGCGGCTCTGGCCTGAGGTTGGCGTGACTCAACGATGTGCCTCCCAGCTCGCCGCCGCCCTCCTCGGCACCGTCGCCTACCAGGAGCTCCTCTTCCCGGGAGGGTCCATGGAGCTGACGCTGCCCGTGTACGAGGACGCCGTCAACGCTCGCTTCTACAACGAGTGCGTGGTGGCCGCGGTCGACTCCATCATTGCCAGCCTGCCAGCCGGCCGCTTCTTGAGCGTCGTCGAGGTTGGCGCCGGCACGGGCGGCACGGCATCGAGCGTGCTGCCGCGGCTGCGTCGGGTGTGCGAGCAGTACATGTTCACCGACGTGTCGGAGGTCTTCCTCAACCAGGCGCAGCGGCGCTTTGCCGAGTACGCCGGCTTCATGCGCTTTGAGCTGCTCAACATCGACGCCGACTCGCGCCTCCAGGGCTTCGCCTCGGGATCGTTCGACCTCGCCATCGCCACCAACGTGCTGCACGCGACGCCCTTCATCCGCAACACGCTGCGAAACTGCCGCCGCCTGCTCTGCGACGGGGGCTTCCTTCTTCTGAATGAGCTGCTTCGAACGAATGGATTTTTGCAGACCACGTTTGGCCTGACCGACGGGTGGTGGATGTTTGCGAGCGACCCGGAGCGCACCAACCAGCCGAGCCCGCTGCTGTCGTGGGAGCACTGGCGTCAGATCCTGGCGGCGAGCGGCTTTGCCAGCTCCCACTGCATGCGCGGCGACGGCTACGTCCTAGAGGCGCAGGCGATCATCGTCTCCCAGGTGGGCGAGCGGTCGCCTGGCGCACGGCGCGCGGAGCTCGATCGCGGCACCCACCTCTTCTCGGGTGGGCTCGGCGGGCTCGGCTTGCTGACGGCACGCATGCTCGTGGGGCGTGGCGCGAAGCACCTGGTGCTTTCGTCTCGCAGCGGGCGCGTGCAGAGCGGCAGCGAGGCGGACTGGGCGTGGCTCACCAGCCGCGTTGCCGTGTCGCCCGCCCGTTGCGACGTGTCTGACGCCACCGCTGTGCGGGCGCTTGCCGGCGCCGTGCAGCAGAGCTGCATGCCGCTGTGCGGGGTCTACCACGCCGCGGGCTTGCTTGCGGATGCGACGGTGCGCAACCAGGCGATGGGCCACTTCGCCACGGTCTTCGCGCCCAAGGTGCACGGCGCGGGCTGGCTGCACGCGGCCAGCCTCGCCGGCGCGCTGCAGCACTTCCACGCCTACTCGTCGGTGGCGGGGCTCATCGGCAACGCCGCCGCGACGCCGCACTCTGCGGCCAACACGTGGCTCGACTCGCTGGTGCACTGCCGGCGCGACGCGGGCCTGGGCGGGCTCGGCACGCAGTGGGGCGCCGTCGCCGAGATCGGCTACGCTGCGCGCCACGGGGCGGACGAGCGGGCGACGAAGAGCGGCATGGGCGCCGTCACGCGTGCGATGGCGTGGGACGCCCTTCACGCCTCGCTGGCGCGGTGCGACCGCGTCGTGGCGGTGTGGCCGGCCGAGTGGCCGCTGCTGCTCGGCCGCGCACCTGCCGGCGCCGTGCCCGGCCTGCTCCTGCCGTGGAAGAACCGGCGCGGCCGAGCGGCGCCGAAGCGCGCCCGCGCAGCGCCGGCGCCGGGCGTTCCGGCGAGTGCCAGCGCGACCCAGCCGGCCGCGACGGCGGGTTCGTCCGCCCTTCTGAGCCTCGACGGGGTGCTCGAGATCTTGCAGGGCACAATGAGCGCACGCGTCGACGCGGACGTGCCTCTCATGGAGGCGGGGCTCGACTCGCTCGGCGCGGTCGAGCTGCGCAACCAGCTCCAGCGGGCGGCTGGCGACGCGGTGCCACTGCCGAGCACTCTGGTGTTTGACCACCCGACTGCGCGTCAGCTGGCTTCCTTCTTCAGCGACAAGGGCGCGCCGCCGGTGGCAGCCGCCGCCGCCACGCCCTCGCATGCCTCCGCCCGCGCTGCCGAGGCGGTTTGCGCCGCCGGCCTCTCTGCCACCCTTCCGGAGGGCGTCACCACTCTCGAGGCGGCTCGAGCCGTCGCCGCGACGGGCGGCAACGTGGTGTCGGAGGTGCCTGCAGACCGGTGGACGCTAGAGGCCAGCAACGTTTCCGCTGCAGTTGCTCAGCGCGTTTGCCACGGAGCGTTTGTCCGAGCGGCCGACCTGTTCGATAACGGCCACTTTGGCATCTCCGCGGTGGAGGCGGCTTCGATGGATCCGCAGCAGCGCATCTTGCTCGAGCGGGGCTACGAGTCGCTACACGGTGCTGGACTTCCCAAGTCCAGCCTGCTAGGGAGCGTCACCGGGATTTTCATTGGCATCGCCGCCAACGACTTCGCCGAGATTCTCTCGAAATCTCCCGCAGGGGGCAGCGTCTACTCCGCCACGGGTAGCAGCCACTCGATCGCATCTGGACGGCTGTCCTACATTTTGGGCCTCCAGGGTCCGTGCGCGTCGTATGACACTGCCTGCTCCTCTACTCTCACCGCATGCCATGCGGCGGTGCGTGCGACACGGCATGCCGAAAGCGTCGACAACTTGGTCGCTGGCATCAGCCTGCTTCTTTTGCCCCGAGTTAGCTATAGCTTTGCGACGGCTGGCATGACGTCGGCGCGGGGGCGCTGCCACACTTTTGACGCCCGCGCTGACGGCTATGCTCGTGCTGAGGCGTGCTGTGCCCTCACCTTGCGCACGGGGATGGGCCACCTCTCCTTGGCGGGTAGCTGCGTGCGATCAGACGGCAAGAGCGCGAGCCTCACCGCGCCAAACGGCAAGGCGCAGCAGGCGCTCCTTGAGGCAGCGCTCGTCGATGCCGGATCGACCTGCGATGATCTGAGCTGCGTCGAGGCGCACGGCACTGGCACGTCGCTCGGCGACCCGATCGAGGTGGGCTCGCTCGCCGCGACCTTGCTTGCAGGGCACGGTTCCATCACGGCAGTGGGCAGCATCAAGGCCAACGCGGGCCATGCCGAGCCTGCTGCCGGTGCCGCGGGGCTTCTTCGCCTCGGGCTGAAGCTGGTGACCGATCAGGCGTCGCCCAACGCACAGCTCCGCGTGCTCAACCCGCACGTGGCTTCCGCGATCGAGAGCGTCCGCGTCTTGCACCAGACGCAGCTCGCGACGACGTGGGAGGGCGGCAACGCCACTCGGCTCGGCGGCGTGAGCTCGTTTGGGTACAGCGGCACCATTGTGCATGTCGTCGCTGCTGCATCAGCGCTGACGGTGGCCCCGTCCACCTCGTTCACACGCCGTTACAGCTACCGCCACAAGTCGTTCAAGTGGCGCTCCTCGTCGCCTACCAGCACCGAGGCCTCGCTTTCAAGCTACCAAGCTGCGTGGGTCCGCTCCCGCAGCGCGCTTCAGGCGGCTACCGTCTCTGGCCGCTGCCTTCTGCTCGCTCCCCACCAGGGGATTTCGCTTGTCGGGAGAGCGCTTGTCCAGGCTAGGCTGCAGGTGGAGAAGGCTGACTTGGAGGCGGGGGCCAGCGCAGCCGGGCAGTGGGCCGCCGTGGTCATCTGCCCCGGCGGGGAGGGCGACACCACGGCCGCCCCTCTGATCACTCTTCTCCAGCGCCTGGTCAATCTGCAGCCGCCCCCCCAGATCATCGTCTGCACCAGCGGCGAGGTTGTCGCCGCGCCACGCGTCGTCCAGCCCGGCTCCATCCTCGGAGGGTGTGGCTCGTGGGGCGTCGGCAGAGTCCTCCAGCTCGAGCGGCCCCAGCTGCGGCTCGGACTCGTCGATCTCCCCCGCGCCACGCCGGCCGCGGAGGAGGCAGCACGCTCATTCTTCACAGCTGCGCTTTCCGCGGCGGCGCACGACTCCGCTGCAGCCTACGTCGGTGCCTCGAGGTTTGTGGCCCGCCTCCGCCGTGGGGGCGGCGTGACGAAAACCTCGACTTTGGCCGGTCCGTCCAGGCAGAGAAGTTCCGTCGTTGTGACTGGCGGCCTTGGTGGTCTCGGGCTCAAGGCGGCGCTGCTCTTTGCTCGCTCTGCCTCGTCGATTCTGCTCACCTCTCGCAGCGGCGCTGTGGTGCGCGACGGCCAAGGCCTGCACGACATGCTGCAATCTCTGCGAGACTCGGCGAAGCATGTGGCTGTCCTGGCGTGCGACGCGAGCAAGCCGGCCGATGTCAAGGCGCTGCTTGGAGCCACGGCCGGTGGGACCGCCCATGTCCTGCATGCAGCAGGCGTGGCCGACAAGGGTCTGCTCGCCGACATCCTCGCGCCGCGCGTGCACGCCGTCTTTGCGGCCAAAGTCGACAGCGCAAGGCTTCTTCACGCCTGCACGACGACGGCACCGTTGCGGGGATTCTTGCTCTACTCGTCTGTCGCTGCCATGCTCGGCGGCGCCGGGCAAGCGAGCTACGCCTCGGCCAACTCGTGCTTGGACGTGTTGGCCGCCCACTTGGGCAGCCGCGGGTGCGTCGCCAGCAGCGTGCAGTTCCCGCTCGTGCAGGGCGTCGGAATCGGAGCCGCTGCCTTCTCCAAAGGGCAGATGTCCTTCCGAGGCATGCTTGCCATCTCTCTCGTCGAGTACGAGGCCGTACTCCAGTCGGTGCTCAGCAATGCGGCCGTGGCCGTGCGATTGCCACTGCCCACGGCCACCGCACGCATGCTCGAGGGCGTGCCCAGCGCAGACGTTCCTCTCCTGTCGGAGCTGCGCGCCGCCGTGTCTAGCTCTGCAGCCTCTGGCACTGAGAATGCGTGCGGAAGCAACTTTAGCCAGGAGCTGGCGACGTTGACGCCAGCGGTCAGAGCGACGAGAATGGAGGAGGCCGTTTTGGAGACGGTGCGCAAGCTGAGCGACGTCGAAGCCATCGGCGCCGCCACGCCGCTGATGGAGGCTGGCATCGACTCGCTAGCCGCAACGGAGCTCGCCTCGCGCCTGCGCGATCTAACGGGCGTCGCGGTGTCGCCAACAATGGTGTTCGACCACCCGACTCCCCGAGCCCTCGCATCGCATCTGCTAGAAGAGCTGCGCTGCTCGGGCGCAAACCGGCCGATTGCCACTGCCAGTGCGTCGCCTGCAGCGGCGGAGAAAGCCATCTCGATCTCAGGTGGGGATGTCGCGCGCTGGCCAGGAGGAGCCGAGGCGATCGGTGAAGCAATGGCGAGCTTCGAAGCGAGCGGGGACGGCATCCGCGCAGTGCCCCGCGTGCGATGGGTGCTCAGCGAGCACGTGGACATCGGCTCAATCAGCGACGTGCAGGCGGCGGCTGCAGGCAGCGGTGGGTTTGTGTGCAAAGCTGAGCTGTTCGACAGCGCCCTCTTCGCCATCTCGCCCACTGAGGGCGCTGCCATGGACCCGCAGCAGCGGCTGCTCCTTGAGCTCAGCTATCAGGCCTTCCACGGCCACGGCTTGCGACGCGACTCGCTGCTCGGCACAGACACCGGCGTATACGTTGGGATGGAGCGGCCAGATTGGACCCGGATGCAGTCGCCACAAGCCGCAGCCTCTGTCTATGCCGTGACTGCCGACACCAACTCCGTTGCCGCGGGGCGCATCTCCTTCTGCTTGGGGCTGATGGGGCCCTGCATGAGCCTCGACACTGCTTGCTCTTCGGCACTCAGTGCGCAGCACAGCGCCGCCAGCGCCATGCGCAATACCGAGTGCGCGCTGGCGTTGGTCGCGTCTGTGACGCTGAAGCTGTCGCCTCTTGTGACCCTACGAGTTGCCGCTGCGGGAATGCTTTCTCCCGACGCCCGCTGCAAGACCTACGACAGGAGTGCCAACGGGTTTGTCCGGGCGGAGGGCGTCGGCGCGATCGTCCTCACACGTGACGCTATTTGCGAGGGAGCTCCCGCCCGGCTTCTGCTTGGCAGCGCGGTGCGGCAGGATGGACGCAGCGCGAGCCTGACTGCGCCAAACGGCTCCGCCCAGCGGGTGCTGATGAACGCTGCCCTGTCTCGCGCGTCGGTCACCGCGGCTGCTGTCGCATCGATTGAGGCGCACGGCACAGGCACGGCGCTCGGCGACCCGATCGAGAGCGGCGCCTTGTCGCACCTCTTCCGCGCGGCTCCGGGGCACGTCGCTGTTGGGGCGCTCAAGGCAAATGTCGGCCACGCGGAGCCAATGTCTGGGCTGTTCGGCATCTGCAAGGCCCTTCACGTCTTGTCGGCTGACTGCGCTGGCAACGCGCAGCTCCGGGTGATGAACGAGCTCGTCTCTGAGCATCTCGGTGGGGGTGCAGGACCGAGCGCCATACTGCCTACGCAGCGGTTGCAGCGGGAGCGCGGGTTGGTGGCAGTGGGAGGCGTCTCCTCCTTTGGCTACAGCGGCACCATCGTCCACGCCGTCCTCTCGTGCTCGGCCCGCGCGGGCGAGCCGGCGCGGCCGCCGTCCGCTCCGGGCTTGGTCTACCGCAGGCAGCGCTTCTCGTGGCAGGACGAGCTGCACCCGCTGGCGCAGCAGCCGGGCCGCGCCGGCGAGGCCCACCTCTTCCGCTCGCCGGCCCGGGGCCGGCTAGTTGCCCTCATGGCCGACCACGTCGTGCAAGGCCGCGTCATCTTCCCCGCGGCCGGCTATCTCGAGCTGGCGCGGGCCGCATGCCAGGCGAGCACGCTTTACGCGGGCAGCCGTGCGTGCCATCTGCGCCGCGTCCTCTTCATGCAGCCCTGCGTGGTGGAGCCGGCTGCCGACCAGCACATCGAGTGCGAGGTGTCGGGTGCGCTCGACAGTCTTGAGATTCGCAGCGGCGCGGGCGCCGCCCTCGCCGAGCGGATGGTGCATTGCGCGGCGTCACCCTCGGGTGGCGGGGCGGGAGGCGCGGCGGGCGCGCGGTCGCTCGCCGCGCCAGCGCAGCGCGCGTGCTGCCCGCACGCCGCCGATGCAGCTCGGATCTACGGCGACTTCCGCGCCGTTGGGCTCGAGTACGGCCGCGCCTTCCAGACGCTCGCTCAGGGCTGGGCGTCGGCTCTCTCGGGCACGGCGATCGCGTCTCTGCGCCCCCGACGCAAGGCGTGCCTCGAGGGCACTCTCCTCCACCCCGCGGACCTTGACGGCGCGCTGCAGGCCTCGATTCTGATGGAGCGCGAGCGCTCGAGCGAGACTCGACTCCCCTTCTCGGTGGCAGAGGCGGCGCTCAGCGGCTTGCACGGCAACATGGTCGCGATGCTGAGCCGGCGAGGCGCCTCCACGGCTGACGTCGTCCTGTCTGGCCTCGGGAAGGCGACGAGGCTCGACCACTTCGAGAGCCGTGTGCTCAAGAAGGGCGCCGCCGGCAAGGCTGCCTCGGCCGCCGGCAAGGCTGCCCCGGCCGCCGACTGGTCCTACGCGTGCGAGTGGGCTCCGGTGGCCTCCGCCGCGGCCGATCCGAGCCAGGAGGCCCGCGTCTTGCTCGTGGGCGACCGGCGCGGCACGCTGGCCGCGGCGCTCGGGCGGAGCATCGCTCGGCGCGCGGAGAGCGGGTCCGCCTCGGAGCTGCGCGAGGCCGGCGCTCTCGATGGCGTCGTCCTCGTCGCGCCGCCCCGGGCTGCGGCCGCGCTGGGCAGCATCGCGTCGGCGCTGACCATCGTGCAGTGGCAGATGGACCTGCCCGCCGCTGTGCCGGTGTGGGTCTGCACGCACCTGACCCAGCCCGTCGCCTCCGTGCGGCGGAGCTCGAGCGAGCACGCCGGTCTGTGGGGCTTTGCGCGTGCGTGTCTGCAAGAGGCAGCCGGGCTGCCGCTGTACAACCTGGACCTCGACTTCGGGTGCGCGCAGTCGCTGCGTGGCGCGGCCGAGCTCGTGCGCTCGCGCGCGCTGGCATCCGAGGACGGGTTCGTCCACGGCCTGCGAGTGGGACCCGCCGCCGAGAACGAGGCGGCGCTCCGCGGCGGCTCGATGCACGTTCGCCGGCTGACCTTGCGGAGATCGCCGGCGGCGTTGCAGTCGATCGTCCTGACTTGCGAGCCCCGCGGCTCATTCGCGAACCTCAAGCTCGAGCCTCGGGGCGACCACTCGTCCCGCGATGGCAACGAGGTGGCGCCCACCGAGGTCAGCATCGCCGTGCATGCGGTCGGCCTCAACTTCCGGGATGTCCTGATCGTTTTGGATCAGTATCCGGGGCCTCGAGCCGACCCGGGTTCCGACTGCGCTGGCATGGTGGAGCACGCGGGCTCGCAGGTCGCTCACATTGCTCAGCGCGACGCTTGCTTCGGTATCTCCAATGCTTGCCTCGCATCGCATGTGTGCTGCGACGCGCGATTGCAGGTGCGCAAGCCGAGCGCGGTGAGCTTTGAGGCCGCGACCACTCTGATCAGCACCTGGTGCACTGTGCACGTGGCGTTCGTCCGGTCCCGGCTCGTCGGCTCGCGGCGGCTGCTCGTGCACGCTACGGCCGGCGGCGTTGGCCTGGCGGCTTCGGAGTACGCCGCGTGGCTTCGCCTCCGGCTCTTTGGCACCGCGGGCGCCCCGCGCAAGCACCACCTCCTGCGGTGCTGCGGCGTACGCTCGACTGCGAGCTCTCGCCAAGCTGCCTCGTGCGGGCATTCGCTCGCATCGCAGCTTGGCGGGCGGCGCCTGGACGGCGTGCTCAACAGCCTGTCCGCGGACTTCATCTCCACCTCCTTCGCGCTCCTTGCGCCGGCCGGCCGGTTCGAAGAGATCGGGAAGCGCTCCGTGTGGAGCTTTGCGCGAGCCGCCGCCGCCGTGCCGAGCGCCTATTCCGTCCTCGACATGGCGCTCGACGTCCCCGCCGACCCTGACTGGTACTCTGCAGAGGTGCTGCAGGTCCTCGCGCGGCGGCTCGAGGCGGTTGTGGTCCACGGCCTCCCGCTCCGCAGCTTCGGCATCGAGCGCGAGGCACGAGACGCGTTCCGGTTCCTCTCGGGCGGCGCAAACCTCGGCAAGGTGGTGATCACGATACCTGTCCGGTTGGGTGCGCCAAGCTCGTTGGCGGTGGCGTTTGCGCCGCTCTGCGAGCTGCTTGATGCCCACGTGTCGGACGCGGTGCGCGCGCTCGAGGACTTGCCGCAGGTGACGGACGCCCACGAGGTGCTTGAGAGGGCTGTGAGGCACGACATCGCCCGCGCCCTGAGCGGTTTGGACCCTTCTGCCATCCCCAAGTGGCACCACCGGCTGCTACATGAGTGGTGCGCCGCCATCGAGCCGCCCACAGAGCCCGCATCGTACGAAGACGTGCTCGCAGTGTCGCCGCGGCTCTGGCCTGAGGTTGGCTTGACTCAACGATGTGCCTCCCAGCTCGCCGCCGCCCTCCTCGGCACCGTCGCCTACCAGGAGCTCCTCTTCCCGGGAGGGTCCATGGAGCTGACGCTGCCCGTGTACGAGGACGCAGTTCACTCCCGCTTCTACAACGAGTGCGTGGTGGCCGCGGTCGACTCCATCATTGCCAGCCTGCCAGCCGGCCGCTTCTTGAGCGTCGTCGAGGTTGGCGCCGGCACGGGCGGCACGGCATCGAGCGTGCTGCCGCGGCTGCGTCGGGTGTGCGAGCAGTACATGTTCACCGACGTGTCGGAGGTCTTCCTCAACCAGGCGCAGCGGCGCTTTGCCGAGTACGCCGGCTTCATGCGCTTTGAGCTGCTCAACATCGACGCCGACTCGCGCCTCCAGGGCTTCGCCTCGGGATCGTTCGACCTCGCCATCGCCACCAACGTGCTGCACGCGACGCCCTTCATCCGCAACACGCTGCGAAACTGCCGCCGCCTGCTCTGCGACGGGGGCTTCCTTCTTGTCAATGAGGCACTTCGGACGAGCAGTTCTATCCAGACCACGTTTGGCCTGACTGACGGGTGGTGGATGTTTGCGAGCGACCCGGAGCGCACCAACCAGCCGAGCCCGCTGCTGTCGTGGGAGCACTGGCGTCAGATCCTGGCGGCGAGCGGCTTTGCCAGCTCCCACTGCATGCGCGGCGACGGCCTGCTGCTCGAGACGCAGGCGATCATCGTCTCCCAGGTGGGCGAGCGGTCGCCTGGCGCACGGCGCGCGGAGCTCGATCGCGGCACCCACCTCTTCTCGGGTGGGCTCGGCGGGCTCGGCTTGCTGACGGCACGCATGCTCGTCGGGCGTGGCGCGAAGCACCTGGTGCTTTCGTCTCGCAGCGGGCGCGTGCAGAGCGGCAGCGAGGCGGACTGGGCGTGGCTCACCAGCCGCGTTGCCGTGTCGCCCGCCCGTTGCGACGTGTCTGACGCCACCGCTGTGCGGGCGCTTGCCGGCGCCGTGCAGCAGAGCTGTATGCCGCTGTGCGGGGTCTACCACGCCGCGGGCTTGCTTGCGGATGCGACGGTGCGCAACCAGACGATGGGCCACTTCGCCACGGTCTTCGCGCCCAAGGTGCACGGCGCGGGCTGGCTGCACGCGGCCAGCCTCGCCGGCGCGCTGCAGCACTTCCACGCCTACTCGTCGGTGGCGGGGCTCATCGGCAACGCCGCCGCGACGCCGCACTCTGCGGCCAACACGTGGCTCGACTCGCTGGTGCACTGCCGGCGCGACGCGGGCCTGGGCGGGCTCGGCACGCAGTGGGGCGCCGTCGCCGAGATCGGCTACGCGGCGCGCCACGGGGCGGACGAGCGGGCGACGAAGAGCGGCATGGGCGCCGTCACGCGTGCGATGGCGTGGGACGCCCTTCACGCCTCGCTGGCGCGGTGCGACCGCGTCGTGGCGGTGTGGCCGGCCGAGTGGCCGCTGCTGCTCGGCCGCGCACCTGCCGGCGCCGTGCCCGGCCTGCTCCTGCCGTGGAAGAACCGGCGCGGCCGAGCGGCGCCGAAGCGCGCCCGCGCAGCGCCGGCGCCGGGCGTTCCGGCGAGTGCCAGCGCGACCCAGCCGGCCGCGACGGCGGGTTCGTCCGCCCTTCTGAGCCTCGACGGGGTGCTCGAGATCTTGCAGGGCACAATGAGCGCACGCGTCGACGCGGACGTGCCTCTCATGGAGGCGGGGCTCGACTCGCTCGGCGCGGTCGAGCTGCGCAACCAGCTCCAGCGGGCGGCTGGCGACGCGGTGCCACTGCCGAGCACTCTGGTGTTTGACCACCCGACTGCGCGTCAGCTGGCTTCCTTCTTCAGCGACAAGGGCGCGCCGCCGGTGGCAGCCGCCGCCGCCACGCCCTCGCATGCCTCCGCCCGCGCTGCCGAGGCGGTTTGCGCCGCCGGCCTCTCTGCCACCCTTCCGGAGGGCGTCACCACTCTCGAGGCGGCTCGAGCCGTCGCCGCGACGGGCGGCAACGTGGTGTCGGAGGTGCCTGCTGACCGGTGGTGCCCAGACGAGCTGCAGTTCCCAGATGAGCTCATCGCTCGCCGAGTACGTCACGGTGGGTTTGCGCGCGGCATTGACCGCTTCGACAACGCGTGCTTTGGCATCTCCGCGGCCGAGACGGCAGTGATGGATCCGCAGCAGCGCATCTTGCTCGAGCGGGGCTACGAGTCGCTGCACGGTGCCGGGCTGAAGCGCACCACGCTAATTGGCACAACCATGGGCGTGTTCGTTGGTATTGGAACGCAGGACTTTGCATTCCTCGTCACGAACTCGCCCCTCGCTAGCAGCGTCTACTCTGCCACGGGTAGCAGCCACTCGATCGCATCTGGACGGCTGTCCTACATTTTGGGCCTCCAGGGTCCGTGCGCGTCGTATGACACTGCCTGCTCCTCTACGCTTGCGGCTGGTCACGCGGCACTGCGTGCTACCCAGCTCGGCGAGTGCTCTGGCGGAGTTGTTGCTGGCGTGAGCTTGATGCTTCTGCCGTCGCTGGGGACAAGCTTTGCGACGGCTGGCATGACGTCGGCGCGGGGGCGCTGCCACACTTTTGACGCCCGCGCTGATGGCTTTGCGCGTGGCGAGTCCTGCTGTGCCCTCACACTGCTGTCGCACGCCAAGTCGGAGTCGTCCCTCGTCTCCACCGGGAGCTGCGTGCGGCAAGACGGCAAGAGCGCGAGCCTCACCGCGCCAAACGGCAAGGCGCAGCAGGCGCTCCTTGAGGCAGCGCTCGTCGATGCCGGATCGACCTGCGATGATCTGAGCTGCGTCGAGGCGCACGGCACTGGCACGTCGCTCGGCGACCCGATCGAGGTGGGCTCGCTCGCCGCGACCTTGCTTGCAGGGCACGGTTCCATCACGGCAGTGGGCAGCATCAAGGCCAACGCGGGCCATGCCGAAGCGGCTGCCGGTGCCGCGGGGCTTCTTCGCCTCGGGCTGAAGCTGGTGACCGATCAGGCGTCGCCCAACGCACAGCTCCGCGTGCTCAACCCGCACGTGGCTTCCGCGATCGAGAGCGTCCGCGTCTTGCACCAGACGCAGCTCGCGACGACGTGGGAGGGCGGCAACGCCACTCGGCTCGGCGGCGTGAGCTCGTTTGGGTACAGCGGCACCATTGTGCACCATCTATTGACTATCTCTGGCGATGACGTAGCGGTCCCGTGGGGGCCATCCTTACGCTTTAAGCGAACCCTCTTTGCTTGGCGACAGAAGCCCGAGACCAAGGCCACTGAAAAGGTTGGCTACTTTGCGACGGAGTGGGCTCCGGTGGCCTCCGCCGCGGCCGATCCGAGCCGGGAGGCCCGCGTCTTGCTCGTGGGCGACCGGCGCGGCACGCTGGCCGCGGCGCTCGGGCGGAGCATCGCTCGGCGCGCGGAGAGCGGGTCCGCCTCGGAGCTGCGCGAGGCCGGCGCTCTCGATGGCGTCGTCCTCGTCGCGCCGCCCCGGGCTGCGGCCGCGCTGGGCAGCATCGCGTCGGCGCTGACCATCGTGCAGTGGCAGATGGACCTGCCCGCCGCTGTGCCGGTGTGGGTCTGCACGCACCTGACCCAGCCCGTCGCCTCCGTGCGGCGGAGCTCGAGCGAGCACGCCGGTCTGTGGGGCTTTGCGCGTGCGTGTCTGCAAGAGGCAGCCGGGCTGCCGCTGTACAACCTGGACCTCGACTTCGGGTGCGCGCAGTCGCTGCGTGGCGCGGCCGAGCTCGTGCGCTCGCGCGCGCTGGCATCCGAGGACGGGTTCGTCCACGGCCTGCGAGTGGGACCCGCCGCCGAGAACGAGGCGGCGCTCCGCGGCGGCTCGATGCACGTTCGCCGGCTGACCTTGCGGAGATCGCCGGCGGCGTTGCAGTCGATCGTCCTGACTTGCGAGCCCCGCGGCTCATTCGCGAACCTCAAGCTCGAGCCTCGGGGCGACCACTCGTCCCGCGATGGCAACGAGGTGGCGCCCACCGAGGTCAGCATCGCCGTGCATGCGGTCGGCCTCAACTTCCGGGATGTCCTGATCGTTTTGGATCAGTATCCGGGGCCTCGAGCCGACCCGGGTTCCGACTGCGCTGGCATGGTGGAGCACGCGGGCTCGCAGGTCGCTCACATTGCTCAGCGCGACGCTTGCTTCGGTATCTCCAATGCTTGCCTCGCATCGCATGTGTGCTGCGACGCGCGATTGCAGGTGCGCAAGCCGAGCGCGGTGAGCTTTGAGGCCGCGACCACTCTGATCAGCACCTGGTGCACTGTGCACGTGGCGTTCGTCCGGTCCCGGCTCGTCGGCTCGCGGCGGCTGCTCGTGCACGCTACGGCCGGCGGCGTTGGCCTGGCGGCTTCGGAGTACGCCGCGTGGCTTCGCCTCCGGCTCTTTGGCACCGCGGGCGCCCCGCGCAAGCACCACCTCCTGCGGTGCTGCGGCGTACGCTCGACTGCGAGCTCTCGCCAAGCTGCCTCGTGCGGGCATTCGCTCGCATCGCAGCTTGGCGGGCGGCGCCTGGACGGCGTGCTCAACAGCCTGTCCGCGGACTTCATCTCCACCTCCTTCGCGCTCCTTGCGCCGGCCGGCCGGTTCGAAGAGATCGGGAAGCGCTCCGTGTGGAGCTTTGCGCGAGCCGCCGCCGCCGTGCCGAGCGCCTATTCCGTCCTCGACATGGCGCTCGACGTCCCCGCCGACCCTGACTGGTACTCTGCAGAGGTGCTGCAGGTCCTCGCGCGGCGGCTCGAGGCGGTTGTGGTCCACGGCCTCCCGCTCCGCAGCTTCGGCATCGAGCGCGAGGCACGAGACGCGTTCCGGTTCCTCTCGGGCGGCGCAAACCTCGGCAAGGTGGTGATCACGATACCTGTCCGGTTGGGTGCGCCAAGCTCGTTGGCGGTGGCGTTTGCGCCGCTCTGCGAGCTGCTTGATGCCCACGTGTCGGACGCGGTGCGCGCGCTCGAGGAATTGCCGCAGGTGACGGACGCCCACGAGGTGCTTGAGAGGGCTGTGAGGCACGACATCGCCCGCGCCCTGAGCGGTTTGGACCCTTCTGCCATCCCCAAGTGGCACCACCGGCTGCTACATGAGTGGTGCGCCGCCATCGAGCCGCCCACAGAGCCCGCATCGTACGAAGACGTGCTCGCAGTGTCGCCGCGGCTCTGGCCTGAGGTTGGCTTGACTCAACGATGTGCCTCCCAGCTCGCCGCCGCCCTCCTCGGCACCGTCGCCTACCAGGAGCTCCTCTTCCCGGGAGGGTCGATGGAGCTGACGCTGCCCGTGTACGAGGACGCCGTCAACGCTCGCTTCTACAACGAGTGCGTGGTGGCCGCGATCGACTCCATCATTGCCAGCCTGCCAGCCGGCCGCTTCTTGAGCGTCGTCGAGGTTGGCGCCGGCACGGGCGGCACGGCATCGAGCGTGCTGCCGCGGCTGCGTCGGGTGTGCGAGCAGTACATGTTCACCGACGTGTCGGAGGTCTTCCTCAACCAGGCGCAGCGGCGCTTTGCCGAGTACGCCGGCTTCATGCGCTTTGAGCTGCTCAACATCGACGCCGACTCGCGCCTCCAGGGCTTCGCCTCGGGATCGTTCGACCTCGCCATCGCCACCAACGTGCTGCACGCGACGCCCTTCATCCGCAACACGCTGCGAAACTGCCGCCGCCTGCTCTGCGACGGGGGCTTCCTTCTTCTGAATGAGCTGCTTCGAACGAGTGGATTTTTGCAGACCACGTTTGGCCTGACCGACGGGTGGTGGATGTTTGCGAGCGACCCGGAGCGCACCAACCAGCCGAGCCCGCTGCTGTCGTGGGAGCACTGGCGTCAGATCCTGGCGGCGAGCGGCTTTGCCAGCTCCCACTGCATGCGCGGCGACGGCCTGCTGCTCGAGACGCAGGCGATCATCGTCTCCCAGGTGGGCGAGCGGTCGCCTGGCGCACGGCGCGCGGAGCTCGATCGCGGCACCCACCTCTTCTCGGGTGGGCTCGGCGGGCTCGGCTTGCTGACGGCACGCATGCTCGTCGGGCGTGGCGCGAAGCACCTGGTGCTTTCGTGTCGCAGCGGGCGCGTGCAGAGCGGCAGCGAGGCGGACTGGGCGTGGCTCACCAGCCGCGTTGCCGTGTCGCCCGCCCGTTGCGACGTGTCTGACGCCACCGCTGTGCGGGCGCTTGCCGGCGCCGTGCAGCAGAGCTGCATGCCGCTGTGCGGGGTCTACCACGCCGCGGGCTTGCTTGCGGATGCGACGGTGCGCAACCAGACGATGGGCCACTTCGCCACGGTCTTCGCGCCCAAGGTGCACGGCGCGGGCTGGCTGCACGCGGCCAGCCTCGCCGGCGCGCTGCAGCACTTCCACGCCTACTCGTCGGTGGCGGGGCTCATCGGCAACGCCGCCGCGACGCCGCACTCTGCGGCCAACACGTGGCTCGACTCGCTGGTGCACTGCCGGCGCGACGCGGGCCTGGGCGGGCTCGGCACGCAGTGGGGCGCCGTCGCCGAGATCGGCTACGCTGCGCGCCACGGGGCGGACGAGCGGGCGACGAAGAGCGGCATGGGCGCCGTCACGCGTGCGATGGCGTGGGACGCCCTTCACGCCTCGCTGGCGCGGTGCGACCGCGTCGTGGCGGTGTGGCCGGCCGAGTGGCCGCTGCTGCTCGGCCGGGGAGCCGCTGGCCCCGTGCCCGGCCTGCTCCTGCCGTGGAAGAACCGGCGTCTGCTCAAGGAGAAGGCGGCTGGCGGCTACACGAAGTCTGTGGCGCTCAACCTCGACTCTATCCTCGACATCATCGGTGGCGCTATGAGTGGCAGCGTCGATGCGGACGTCCCTCTCGCAGATGCGGGGCTCGACTCGCTCGGCGCGGTCGAGTTGCGCACCCAGCTGCAGCACGCGACGGGCGTCGACGAGCTGCCGAGCACGCTGCTCATTGACCACCCGACGGCGCGCTCCCTCGCTCTGCACCTTGGCGCGAGTGCCACGGCCGCACCGCCCGAGGCGGGGCCAGGAGCGCAAGCTGGGGAGTCGGTCGAGGCGTCGGCCACGGCCGCTGCGCCCACCTCCACGGATCGGACCGAGCACGCTGGAGCCGAGCAGGCTGAGTACATCAGTCCGTCGCTCGTGCGGCTGTGCGGCAAACCTGCCGCGGCGCCGGCTGCGCCGCCGCTCGTCATAGCACACAGCGTCGTCGGCGACGAGCAAGGCTACGAGCGGTGGTACAAGCCCTCCAACGTGCTCGAGCGCGAGGTGATCGCGCTGCGCCACCCCGCCTTTTGGAGTGGCGTCGTCGAGGGGTCGACCTCCATCCAGCAGCTCTCCGAGGCGTACGCCGCCGAGCTGGTCGCCTACCTGGCTGACTCGCCCTTTGACCTGATCGGCGGCTCGCTCGGCGCGCTGGTCGCGCACAGAGTCGCCCTCATCGCGCGGAGCCTCGGCGGGCGGCCGCGCGGCCTCGTGCTCATCGACCCGCCAGAGTCGGGCGCAATGCCGGGCTTCCTGCGCGAGCTCTCGCGCCACGTGCACATCAGCTTCGCGATGGCGGCCGAGTCGCTCATCATCGGCCCCACGATCCAGCTCGGCGGCGCGCGCGACGCGGGCGGGCTCGAGGCCCTGCAGGGGATCCTTGACGAGGTGCGCGGCTCGCCCGAGGGCGCCCTCGCCTTCGTCCTGGCCAAGGCCTCGCTGCCTGCGCGCCCGAGCATCGCGCAGGCGCAGGAGGCGACGCGCGCCGCCGCCGTCCGGATCGCTGTGCACAAGCAGCTCATCCAGCTGGTGTGGGACGAGTGGGGAGGGAGGGCGCCGAAGCCGCCGCGGCCCTTCGCCTTTGCCGGCGAGCGCGGCGAGCCCGCCATACTCATGGTACGCGCGAGCGAGCGAGGGGCGTACTTCAGCTTCCTCATGACGCAAGGGCTGCGCAACGTCGACGACGCCGTGGTCGACCGGCTGACGGGAGGCCGCTCGGCGATGGTGCGCGCGGCGTTCGCAAAGTACGAGAACGCGTCCGACTTCCGAAAGATGCTCGACGAGGGCTCCTCGCTCGCGCACATCCGCGACGACTTCGAGCGCGTGCTCGGCGCGAGGGCGCTCGGCGCGCTCGAGCGGATGGTGCAGATCCAGGGCTCGCTCGGCGAGTTTGGGGCGTCGGCGCTCGAGCTGGAGCTCGAGGGGCAGCACTTCGACGTGGTGATGCAGTGCATCGCGCGCCGCGACGAGCGGTTCAAGGCGATGGCGGCCGAGTTCCTCGCGCCGTCGCCGCCGGCCAAGGCGCTGGAGGAGCTGCCGCGCTCTCGCTCGACCCGCGCCGCCGCAACCAGCGGTGGCGGCGGCTCGCTCAAGGCGGACGGGTGGCAGGGCGCGCTCGCCGAGCTGCTCGCGGGCGTCCGCGGCTGCCTTCAGCCGGCGGTGCCCGCGCGGCAGAGGCTCGAGGGCGGGCGTGTTGGGCCTGTCGTCCTCAACTCGGATGACATGGGGGCGTAAGCGTCGGGTGTTTGACATCTGTCGCGTGTTGACGTCGTCTGTGCGTCTCACACACACACACCATCGTTGCGCGGACCGCGGTCGCAGGGAGGCATGTGAACCAAAAAAGTGTAACGTACACTCGACTCTTTTCTCCCAGTAAGCTATAAGTACGTACGTACACTCGTGACTCGAGAGAGTTGTACATTCTCGATATATGTTGCCAAAGTCCGAGCGACACCCTTCGAATCCCTTCCCCACACATGGTTGCCACTGCGGTCTGCGCCAGCAGTCCTCTTCGGCGCGTGGGCTAGGCCGCCTCCCGCGCCTTCGCCCTCGCAGCGGCCGCCGAGACGCGCCTCGCCTTGGCTGCGGCGAGCGCCGCCTCTGCCGCCGCCGCTGCCGCCGCCGCTGCCGCCGCTACCGCTGCAACTGCCGCCTCGGCCGCCGCCTCCGCCGCCGCCGCGGCCTCCTCCTCCTCTTCTGCCGCTGCCACAGCCGCAGCCTTCGCCTCAGCCTGCCGGCGCGCCTCCGCTGCCGCCTCCTCGCCCTCCTCCTCGCCCTCCTCCTCGCCCTCCTCCTCGGCCGCCTCCGTCTCCTCCTCACCCTCCTCCTCGCTCGCCTCGCCCGCCGCCTCTCCCAGCGCCTCCGCCAATCCCTCGACCGACGTCTCCGCCGTGATGCCGAACCGGATCCTGTCCTCGTGGAGCTCCGCGAGAAGCCGGAGCAGCCCCTCCCTGTCCAACGGCGCGGGCTTGGCTGCGGCTGCCTCTGCCGGCGCCTCGGACTCCTGCGACGGCCCAGCGCCGCCGCTCCCGCCGCCCTTCTTCTTCTTCTTGCCCTTCTTGCCCTTGGCGCGCTTCTCCGCCTCGACCTCCGCCAGTAGCTCCTCGGCGTGCCGGGCCGCCTCCTTCTCCTCCGCCGCCCTCTGCGCCGCCCTCTCCGCCGCCCCCGCAGCCCACGCCGCCTCATTCGCCGCCTTCTCGGCCGCCGCCTTGGCCGCCGCGTGCTCCTCGAGGGCGCACACGCACTCGGCTTGGCCCCTCTCCTTGGCCCATTGCAGCGCGGTCTTGCCATCCATAGTGCTCAGCGTCATGTCTGCGCCCCCCCGCAGCAGCTGACGCACGACGGCAGGGTGGCCGACGGCGGCGGCTTGAATCAGGGCGGTGCCGTCGTCGTTGTCCTGATGGTCGATCTCTGCGCCGTGCCGGATCAGCGTGTGGACCACCCGCTCGCGACCTTCGTAGGCGGCGTCCATCAGCGCGGTGCAACCGGTCGTGCGGCTTCTCTGATTGATCTCCGCGCCGTGCCGCAATGCCAGCTTGACCAGCTTTTCGCGGCCGTTCACGGCGGCGAGACCCAGCGCATAGCAGCTGCCATCGCTGGTCAGCAATGAGACATCCGCACCGCGCCGCAGAAGCGCCTCCGCCAGCACCGCGTGGTTTTGGACCATTGCGACCATCAGCAGCGTCATGCCGCTCACACGAGAGCCGCAATCAAAGGTGTACTCGAACGTCGCGTCGACCCGCCCGCCGCCGTCGAGCCACGCCAGCACCGTCGCCTCTTCGCCTCGCCGAGCCGCTAGCACGACCTCCTCTGGCACCGCCCCGCTGCCCGGCGCGGTCTCCGCTCCACCCTCGCCGCTGGAAGCAGAGGCCGCGGCACTGGCGCCCGCCGCCGCTTCGCCTGCGGGTGCGCCGCCCGCCCCTGCGCCGCCCGCCTCGGCCGACGGCGCCTTGCTCCGAGCCGCCACCTCGCCGAGATACGTCCTGACGGCGGCGACGCACTCGGCGTGGCCCTTCTCGTTGGCGATCTGTAGCGCCGTCTTGCCCGCCGCAGTGCGCAGCGTCATGTCTGCGCCCGCGCGCAGCAGGCGAAGCACGACGGTGGGATGGCCGATGCAGGCGGCGCCCGTGAGCGCAGTGTGGCCGTTGCAACTGTCTTGAAGGTCGATCTCCGCCCCGTGCCGCAGCAGCAAGTCAGCCACCCGCTCGTGGCCCTCGGCGGCGGCGGCCATCAGCGCCGTACTGGCGTCACCAGCTTGAAGGTTGATCTCCGCGCCGTGCTGAATCAGCATCTCGGCCACCTGCTCGTGGCCGTTGGCGGCGGCCACCATCAGCGCGGTGCTGCCTGCGCTGTTCTGCAGGTTGATCTCTACGCCGTGCCGCAGCAGCATCTCGGCCACCAGCTCGTAGCCCCAGCGGGCGGCGGCCATCAGCGCCGTATGGTCTTCGCCATCGCGCGCGTCCGCCTCCGCGCCGCGCTTCAGCAGTAGTTCGATAATCTCTTTGTGACCGTGTTCGGTGGCGATCAGCAGGAGCGTACAGCCGCACACACCGCCACGCACGCACGTCGCGTCAACCCGCCCAGCCCCGCTGAGCCACGTCTGCACCACGTCGACCTTGCCGTTCTCCGCCGCCGATTCGATCCTTTTCGGCAGCGAGAGCGGCGCAGCAGTAGCCGCCGTTGACGCGTGCCCGCGCCGGGACGCGGCCGAGCCAGCCTTCGTTCGGCCGGGCATGCAAAGGGGGCGGGGTTGCGGGTGCTGAGCGCCTCTCTCCTCTAGGCCGCTCCCGCCGGGCTTCGAAAAAAGAATCTTACAACAAAACTCCCTCGCACGACACTGGGCACGGGACTGGCGCGCACTGGCACGAACACAGGCGAAAAAAGAATTCGCGCAGCTCTCGGTCGTCACACTCGCGGTCGCCGAGTGCATATCCTATGCGAGAGAGATCCCCTGTGCCCTGTGCCCAGCCCTCTCCGCGCGGCGATGCGCCCTCCCCCCTCGCTTTTGCAAAATCCTGCAAAGGTGGGGACGTGTCTGTCCTCGACCCAGCCCTAGCTTGGGATGCCCGTTGTATTTATTTATTATTCGCGGTCGCGTGCATGCGGACAGGCGTCCGAGCACGCGACACGAGCTCCCGGGTGTGTCATCATGCTTGTTACCCGAACGGGAGGTGGCATCGGCCATCGCATTTCGGCTGATATCATCGGCTGGACGGGAGAGATTTTTAGCAATACCAAACAAATCTAACACTCACACGTCATTTGGGGCCTGGAGCCCTGTTCACGCGCGCGCGAGACGTGCAGACAGGTTTGTTGCTGGACGGTGGCTCTCTCCTGGCTTCGAAAAAAGAATTTTACAACAATGTCGTGCGAAAAAAGAACATAGAGATTAAGAAACGGAGCGTTAAAAACAAGAACCGAAAAGAACAAGGAAAAGAAATTGCGTGGCCCAAAGGGGTGCGTGTGTGTGGCAAACAACTAAGCCACCACCAGCCAGCGACGAAATAAAAGAAAAGAACAACCAAAAGAAATCGCTCGGTGAGTGGGGGTTTTTTGGTGGGGGGGGGTGGGGGGGGGCTCTGTTTCCAGTATGAGAGGTCATTCTCTAGCTACCGGCCCGTCCGGGTCGCGGACGCGCCGTCCGGGGAGCGGGGTCCGGGTCCCCGGTCGGCACACACACACACGGCTCACGCGGGGTGCAGCCAAAATGGAAGGCAGTAGCCAGGACCGTACAATGCGAGAGCTGCACAAGACCCGCACCCGCTCCCACTCCGGCGTGGGGAGTGCCAGGCGGGGCGGCGAGCGGAGATGGAGAGGGCGGTGCTTCGCTGTTGCGCGAGAGCGGTGAGAGCCAGTCTCCGAGGTCGTCTTGCTCCATAGGATTCGAACAATACGAAGGATCCCAAAACACACGAAACGAAGGGACGCACGGACTAATTGATATACGACACTAATCGGCGGGGTTATTCGTATTAGCAACGGAGCGCGCGCGTGAATGGGCTACCCGTAGTGGGGTAGGCGCAAGAGCCGTATTGATGATTCCGTATATACGACAAGTATAAGTACAAATCAAGAGACTTCTCCACCGCGGCAGACTACCGACACACTTGCGGGTGGGTTTGTAAAAATGCACCGAGAGACTGACCTCCGCGGTGGGCACCCCCGCACAATCCTCCACTCTCTGTCCGTGCTCAGCCGACGCGGACGAGGCGCTCGTCGATGGGGCAGCAGCCGATCCAGAAACCGCACGGCACGAAGAGGCAGATCAGGAGCGAGAGCGGGCCGCAGTACGGCTGTGGCGCGAGGGGAGGGTCGGGTCATTCCTTCGCGGCCGCTGTTGCGGCGCTGGCCGGGCGGGGCACGGGCGTGGGGCGGGCGGGGGGCGAGCGACGGACCTCGGACACGAACTGAGGGGCGGGGCCCTCGTGAACCACCACGTGCTGAACCCCGCCCGGCGCGTAGCCCGGGTGGGGAGCGTATGCGGACTGCGGCTGCATGTATTGCGGCTGTGGCGCGTACTGCGGCGGTTGCGCGTACTGCGGCGGTTGCGCGTACTGCGGCGTTGGCTGCGCATAGTCGGGCTGCACCATGACTCCCTGCGCGATTGGCACGCTGGACTGCGGAGCCGCGTCGGGGATTTCAATTTGGAAGGTCTGGCCGGCAACTATGCCCGCCGGGACCTCCACCTCGTACTCGGCGCCGTTTGCCATAATCTTGATGCGCTGACCGGCGCCCGCGCCCACGGGGCACTCAACCTGCATGAGGCCCATCGCACGCTTGGCCGCTCTTGACCGCGCTCTGTCACGCCGCTTTCGCAGTCAGCGGGCCGTCTCCCTTGTCGCTTGGTAAAAGAATTCTAGCACCCCGCCCCTCTTTCAGCAGACTTGCACGAAAGAATTCCCGGGGGCGTCCCCGCCCTTCCCAATAATCCCGGCACTCACGACCCCCTTCTCAAGGCCCAGGCGCATCTTGGGTTTGATTCTGCCTGCCTGCCTCCTGCTGGGTGCTGGCGCGTGGCGGAAGGCCGGAGGGAGAGGCTTCGGCGAGAGAGGGCGACATGCCGGATCACAGTCAGCCTCGCATGTCGAGAGAGGTGTGTTTCAGCTGAACCCGCTCGTGTGGGTCTTATCGGGAGATAACAGGCGGCCGATAACGAAAAAGAAAAAAGAAAGAAAACAGACAACCCAAGGGAGGGATGGGATTGGTCTTGCTTGCATTGCTTGACGGAAAGAGCCGCAGACAGCTTCTTTTGGATTGGGGCGGAGCGGTACACGGCGGGGTCAGACTTGCTCATGGGTCCGATTGCACCAAACGGCTCCCCTGTAGAGGCAGCAGGGGCTCGTGCGCCGGCTGCAGTCATCCGTCAAAGAGGCTTGGTGATGAACTACGACGGTAATCGTATCAAAAACGGTTCCGGCCAGCAAAAGTCATTCACGTTAACAAACAAAGGGCGGGTTGGCTTTGGGAGGCAGGCCCGTGGCGCCAACCTCATGCGCGAACAAAGGGCTGGATTCGGGACAAGGGCAAGGCGGGTATCACCGACCGTGGCCTCTTACGTACCCGAGAAATCAAGGGTGTCGCAGGAGCTGCTCCCTGTACACGGCGCGCTGCGCTCTCACTCCGCAACGTCACTCAGCTCTCGCTGGTGCCAAGGCCCAAGCGGCGAGCGAGCAGGGCGTGGGGCGCTGCCCCTCACTCATGCCCGCTCCGCCCGGACCTTCTCGAGGTCCGCCTCGCGCATCGCACCCTTGAGCTCCGCCACCTGGTCGAGCGCGTCGCCGAGCAGCCCCTTGGCCACGCCCAAGTCGCGCAGCTGCTCCACGCCGCCGCTCGCCCGCACCTCGGCGGCGTGGTCGGCCACGTAGCGGCGGCACTGCGCGAGGAGCCGCCCGTCGCCCATCGTGTGCGCCGCCTCGAGCAGCGGCACGGCGGTCGCCGGCGCGACGCTCTCCTGCAGCGCCTGCGCGCAGAGCAGCTCGAGGCGCGGCACCTGGTACATCTGCGCCAGCTCCCGCAGGTCGAGCGCGCGCTGCGCCCTGCCCTCCTCCTCGCCGAGGTCGAACTTGTCGCAGAGGAGGTAGTCGATGAGGGCGGTGAAGCTGGCGGGGTCGATATGGGGCACCGTGACCTCGGCGGCGTCGCGCTCCTTCATGCCGATGCCAAACATGGTCCGATAGTACCCGGACCGAATGCAGAGGTGGCACTTGCTCACGTGCTCGATGCGCTCCCGGTCGTCGCCGACCAGGAAGGTGACCTTCCCCTCTGGCAGGGAAGCATCACCACGCGTCTTTGCGAGGTCGGCCAGGATGGTGGAGGGCGGAACGACGATCGGGGCAAAGGAGGGAGGCGGAGGAGGCGCCGCCACGCAGACCTGGCGGAGGCCACCTCTCGAACCGACCAACAGCGTGCTGCCGTCGGGGCTGATGGCGACTTCCTTTGGGTTGGTAAACTGCGCCGCATTGCCCACGCCGTCCGCGTCGCCAGCCTCGCCGCTGCCCCCGATCGTCGTCACCGCGCCAGTCGCCACCTCCACCCGCCGCATCTTGTGGTTGCCGTTGTCCGCCACAAACAGCGCGCTCCCGTCCGGGCTGAGGGCGATGCCACGTGGGCAGTAGAACTGCGCCGCGTCGCCCACGCCATCGGCGCTGCCCCAAATGCCAGCGCCCGCGAGCGTCGTCACCTCTCCAGTCGCCACCTCAACCCGCCGGATCTCACCGTGGCCTTGGTCTGCCACAAACAGCGCGCCGCCGTCTCGGCTGATGGCGATGCCACGTGGGCCGCCGAACTCCGCCGCGTCGCCCACGCCATCAGCGCTGCCCGCTGTGCCGCTGCCCGCGATCGTCGTCACCGCGCCTGTCGCCACCTCCACCCGCCGGATCTTGTAGTTGCAGCAGTCCGCCACAAATAGCGCGCTCCCGTCCGGGCTGATGGCGATGCCAGTTGGGTAGCGGAACTGCGCCGCTTCGCCCACGCCATCCGCGTCGCCATTCTCGCCGCTGCCCGCGACCGTCGTCACCTCGCCAGTCGCCACCTCCACCCGCCGGATCTTGTGGTTCTCGCAGTCCGCCGCAAACGCCGCGCTCCCGTTTGGGCTGGCGGCAGCGGTGTAGTAGTACTCGTCACTTGCCGGCAAGGCTGCCACGCGTCGCACGCGCCCGGCCGCCGAGACGTGCAGCAGCGAGTCCTTGGTCGCGACGTACCAGGCGCCCGCGTGGTCGCTCGCGACGCCAACCGACCCGAGCGATGCCAGAGGGCCGTCCTCGCCCTCGAGCGTCAGCGTGGCGACCTGGCCGACGCGCGCGCCAAAAAAGATGGGAGCCTCGAAGCCATCCGCGACCGGCACGGGCTCCTCGTCCTCCTCGCCGTCTCCACCGGCGGTGCGGGCGCGCTTGCCGGCACCGGACGCCATGATCGCGTGAGGAGAGGACTGGATTCGGGACCGAGTTTGGTAGGGTAGCAAGTGCGTTACGATTCATGAGCGCTCTCTCTTCCTCTTACGTCTCCCTACGGCCGTACGATGCACCAACGATGCCCCGCCCGCCCCGGCTGGCGGCCTGCGCGACTCACCCCCGCAGCAAACGGAAACGCGGGGGGCCCGGGGCTCTTGTTCCTCACACGCCTGCCTCTGGGCCGGCGCGGGGGCCCCCGGAGGCACCGTGCGCCGCGCCGCAGTGCGGAAACGGGGCCCCGGCTCTATGAGTCTCTATGAGCACCGACTTCCCGATTAAGTACGGTTAAGTAGAGGGCAGATTCGGAGAGATCTCGAGGAGTACATACAGATAGACCCTCCAACCATCAGATAACTGTAACCTAATCGGTCGTTCTGACCGCCGACAGATCACTCCAGACAGCAGACAGGCCGACGTCTGCACGCGGCTGGCCGGGCGAGAGGCTTGACACGATCCGACCCTGCGACCCTGACGCTGCAGCTCTAGCTATCAGACATGCACTGCTGACTGCTGCCACAATATGCGACCTGTGCTGGCCCACTTGGCGGCCTTCCCGGTCAGTGGTGAGGCGCAGTTCAGAGCTGTCGATGGCGCGATGCCGCACTGGTCCCACATTGGTGACACGAGACCACCAAGTTTGCCAGTCCAAGAGAGAGGCACCGGCGCTGTCCTGTGAAGGTGCGTGGTCCCTCCTGACTGCCCATGCGCGCGAGGCTGTGTAGGCATAGCCTCGAGAGTGCCAGCAGCCAATCCGAGGCGACGCGCATTGCGCCAGAAGCGTGCACACGATGGAAGGACACCTTCCTACTGGTCGTAGGATCAGGTCGTCACTGAATGCTTGATACTAAGGCCGCGAGCTATGCAGGTGATCAATTGTGCATCATGGCACGGTCAGCTGCGCCGACAGGCTGTCGCAAGGCGTGATAGCATGGCCGCAAGTACGCCGAATTCCCATGAAAACAAGTAAAAATGGCGAAAAAAGAAAAAATGCCGAAAAAATCGGCGCCTGCGGCGGGCCGTGGGAACCCATCTCCCCCCCGCATGGACACCCTCTGGGGGCCCCGCGCCTCTCCACGGCGACGCAAATCCGTCTCGCGCGCTATTTGGGCGAAGGGAAGCCAGAGGCGGCCAAGCGAATCCTCAAGGCATGCGCCCTCCTCTCACATCCACCCCGTCCTGTGCTTGCCTTCACCGCTGCGCGTGAAGTCACCGACCCGTCATAGATTGGCTCGGTGACCCTCATGCTCGGAGCGGTGCTCGTGGCGGTAGTCCTGCTCCTCTTCCACGACGAGGTGTGGCGCATCTGGACGACGGACGCAGAGCTCATCGAGCTGTGCAACTCGATCCTCGCCGTCTTTGTTGTGACCGTCTCCTTCGTCTACCTCCGCTTCCTGCTGACCGTCGTGAGCGTCTCGCTCGGTTCCCTTTTGTGAGTGCGTGCCGATCGCCGTGTCATTGCCTTCTGACAGGCCCGCCGCCGCAAACCATCAGGTCCGCGGGAGGCGAACATCAACTTGATCGCGAACAACATCGCGTCGTGGGCAATCTTCATCCCGCTGGCCTACCTCATGCCCATCCAATGGGGGTGGGGACTGCCTGGCTTTTGGTGGTCCGACCTGGCCGGCGAAGTCTTCAAGGTGGTCGTCTTGGCGTGGGCAGTGAGCAGGGTCGACTGGGCCGAAGCCGCACGCGAGGCGCAGGCGAGGGCAGGCGTCGAGAGCGAGGCATCCGCCCGCGGCGTCGCATCGATCATCGCCATGAGTCGTGCGAGCGTCCGAGCGAGCAAGGTTGACTAAGGGTCGATAAGAAGAGGAGGAGCGCACCAGCTTGCGCCTTGGTCTTGGGAGTTGGAGTGACACCCCAAGCACGAATAAGCAAGCTGCCAGGGAGAATGAGTCGTACGTACGGTGTCGGGCGGTGGCGAAGTCAAGAGCCAGACTCACGACTCAGTAAATACGAGTCGCGGGGGCCGGGGCGCGGGGGGCGGCTGAAGTGTGTTGAACATCAAAGCAGCGGCCGCGAGCTGGACCCTTATCCGGCCGCGCAAAACGAATTTTCCTCGCGGTCACAAGACGGAAGTGATGGGAGCACATGGGACTCCCCGCCGCGCGCCGGCTGGCGGTGGCGCCTGGCGACTCCCGACTGGCGGGCGGGCTGCGCGCAGATCCGAGATCGCAGTCTCTCCCCCCCGCTCTCCTGCGGCCATCCCATGCCTGGTGCCTGGCCTGCACGGCAGTTTTCCCCCTCGACTGTCGAGAGCGGAAGTGAGGGTACGAACTTCATACTTGAATTACACACCAACCGCAGAGAGTCGTGTTTTGCCTTTGAAAACTGAACAGTTTTTTTTCATACTTGAATTACAACATATCTGCATGCATGTTAAGACCGGGCGAAAATGCGATGTGTCGCGCGCACGGACACGCCGCCAACAGAGTACAGTACGCAACGCGAGAGCGCGGGGTGTGAGGGTTCTCACGCTCACGCCCCTGCCGCAGTCCTCCCTGCGGCAGCTAATAAGTGTGCTGAGCCGGCCTGTCGGCGGCATCAAGCCTCTACGGCGGCCGGCTCCGCAGCCTCGCCGTCGGCGGCCGCTTGCGGCATGGGCTCGTCGGGCGTAGCTGACGGCTCGGGGGCGGGCGGCTCTGGCAGGTCGTACTTCATGATGTCGGCGAGCATGCGCTTCCCCTCGGTGATCGGCGTTGTGGGCGTCGAGTTGACGACGCCCACTTTTGTGCGGTCGACGCCCTGGTACGTCTCGATCTTTGCCCTGAGGCGGAAGGTGCGCCGCTTGAAGAGCACCGAGCTGCACTCCGCCTCGAACGCGCTCTGGTCCGCGTCCTTGATCGCCTTGAGCTCGTCTGCGGTCTTGCCGAAGATGGCGATGGCCTGCTCCTGGTAGGCGGTGGCGTAGGACGTGCCGGACGCGTCAATCAGCTGCACGGCGACGATGTACCGGTGCGTGCACGCGTCGCCCGACCAGCCGCACGACTCGCAGCTCCAGCCGGCGCCGTACTCGCCGATCGCCTTCTTGTTGCACTTCGGGCACGCCGAGTACCAGATCGGCCTCTCCTCGGCGGGCCCGCCGCCGCCGCCGCCCTTCGAGGTGAGAATCCGCGAGATGTAGCCTCCCACGGTGGCGTACGCACCCTTCTCCGGGATCTTGGACGGCGGCAAGCCGAGGAGCTCCGCCTGAGGAGCCGAGGCGGGGCAGGAGGTGAGCGGGCGGGCGAGGGGGGCGGTCACGGCGCGAGCGGCGGAGCTACCAGATCGTCCGCCATCGAGGCGCCGCCGCCGCCGCTGCCGCCGCCGCTGGTGTTGATGGAGAGCGACGTGGCTGCCGAGGCGGCGCCCGTGTCGGCCCACGCCTTGACCCGCTTCGCCTGCGGCAGGTCGGGGTCCATCTGGATCTTTGTCGAGCGGACGGCGCCGAGCGAGCGCGTGTTCCACTCGGACACGACGAGCCCCTTGAAGGCGACGACCGCGGCGGTGGCGGCGGCGTCCTCGGCGAAGGTCTCGGCGCTCTTCCCCCACAGCGTCACCTCGATGGCCGCGTTCGAGTCGTCGCTCAGGTTGATGACGCGCTTGACGAGCTCCCTGCCCGCCTTGGAGACGATGTTCTGCACCGGCCCAACCTCAGTCACAGAGCCAATCACGTCGACGGTCGAGTTGGCGGGCTTGGCGGAGAGGTCGGCGATCGGCGTGAAGTCGAAGTGGTACGTCGGCGTGAAGGTCTTGAGCTCGACGTCCTGCTTGACCATCGCCGAGTCGGCTCCGAGCGTGATCTCGTAGTTGTTTGCCGTCGACGAGTACCGCTTGTTTGCAATCTTGATCTGGCCGCGCGAGACGAGGTAGGTGCTCCCCAGCTCGGCGATGCGCGCGAAGCGCTCCGCGTCCGCGCGCCACGCGGTGCACTTGATCTCGCCCGACTCGTCCGCGATGACCATCTCCCACACGGACATCGTCTCGCCCGCCTTGGTCGTGATTGAGCGCAGCTCGCCGTTCTCCGTCACCTTTGCGCGGACGGTCCACGTGCGAGAGTAGGGGTTGAGCGCCTCGATCGGGGTCGGCCGGCCGGGCGCCGCGGGCTCGCTCGCGCGCGCCGCCGGCTTGGGCGCGAAGCCGGCGGGGGCAACGCGGCTCTGCTGCGACGACTCCGGCGTGGTGTTGGAGTGGCCGCCGGGCGAAGGGCCCTTGGACGGCGTCGCGGCCGGGAGCTCTGCCGGCTCGGGCTTGCCCTGCAGGGAGGGGGGGCGAGGGGGGCGAGCGGAGTGGGGAGGGGGAGGAGGGGGAGGGGAGGGGGAGGGGGGGGGGGGTGGAGGAGGTGGCAGGCAGCGGAGAGGCAGCGGAGAGCGAAGAGGAGAGGGAGGGAGGCGGTGTGCAGGGAGGCGGGTGGGCGCGGGTGGGCGAGTCGATCTTGCCTTGTCCTTGGCCGAGACGGGATCGCCGATCTTGCCCTCGGGCTGGCTCTCGTTCATCTCCATGCCCATCACGATGGCGACGCGCGTCTCGGCAGAGATCGTCGAGATCGTGTAGTCGGTGAGCCGCACGGCAGAGTAGAGCTCGACCTTCGGGCGGCAGGGAGCGGCCGGCCCAGTGAGGCGAGGCTGGCGGTGGCGGGAGCGGCGCGTGGAGCCAGGCAGCGGGCAGTGGGATGGCGATGCGTGCGCGGCAGCGGGTGGCGGCTCGCGGCGAGGACGTCGGCGGGGTGGGTGGGAGGTGACATGTATTACGAGTGCGGCCGGCAGGTGAGAGCCGCGCCTGGCCGTCAGGGTTGCTCTCGGAGCGAAACATCTTGGCGACGGCGGAGTTGAAGACGGCGAAGAAGGTGGTCTCACCGTCCGACATCACGCCCCTGCGCACGAGCGGGGCACGTGTGAGTCGGAGGTGCGGGTCCTTTGCGCCGCCGGCGCAGTGGTGGCGCTCGGGTTGAGTGAGAGGCGGTGCCGGCGCACTTGTTGTTCTTGCCCTGCAGCCGCACGTCCACGAGCTGAACCACCGGTCGCGTCGGCTTCTCGCCGTAGCACATGTCGATGCAAGCGTTGGGGGTGAGCATCGACATGTCGGATGTCGCTGAGATGTCGTTGGCTGGCTGCTTCCCGCCCCGTTCGAGCCGGAGAGATGTGAGCAACCCCCCCCCCCCCCCCCCAACAGGCCGAAACCTCGGCACCGCTGCCTGGTGTCAGGCCCCCCCCGCCAACAGCCAAGAAACCTCGGCACCGCTGCCTGGTCCCCGGTGTCAGGCTCGTATACCTGACTAAATCAATACTGGATTTATTCTTTCTCAATACTGGATGGAGGCTTTCCCGTCGCGCCCGTGCCCTAGCATCTTCCGTGTGCCGCGTGCCGCGTGCGTGCCGGTGCGTGCGTGCGTGCGTGCGTGCGTGCGTGCGTGCGTGCGTGCGTGCGTGCGTGCGTGCGTGCGTGCGTGCGTGTGTGTGTGAGAGAGAGAGAGAGAGAGAGAGAGAGAGATTTTTATTAACCAACAAGAAATCACGACTCTCACAGTGATTTGGGCTCGGCAGCTTGTCAGCCCTCAGCCGAAGCTGGGGCCGGTCCCGTAGCCGATTCTCTCTTGTGTGTGTGTGTGTGTGTGTGTGTGTGTGTGTGTGTGTGTGTGTGTGTGTGTGTGTGTGTGTGTGTGTGTGTGTGTGTGTGTGTGTGTGTGTGTGTGTGTGTGTTGATGCTGTCAGGAAATATTCTTTTCTAGAGAGCAATAGTGATGCACACTTCCTCGCCACGTGTAAGGCCGATTTCTTCCACCCAGTCCGAGCCAGCTCTGCTGTGAGAGGCGCTCGGACCTCGAATTCTTCACCCAGGCAGCTTGGCATAGCGACAAGCTCTGCGCGATAAAGCGTGCCCGCCGCACGCCGGTCTCGACCACACACCGCACCCTGAGTGCCCCTATAGAAGCGAATGGCTCGCCGCCTACAGAGGATCGTGCTATCGCTCGCCGCCGCGACCACGCTCGGCGATGAGCCGCACACGTCTCAGCCCTCGAGCCTCGCGGCGATTGACATGGCGGCCACGAAAGAGCTCGTGATGAAGAACGAGAAGGTGGTGCTCCTGCTCCACACTAGAGGCTGCCATCGCGCCGAGAGCTTCTCGCCGACGCTGGCGTCCGTGGCCGAGCGAGTGCCCGGGCTCGAGTTTGCCCGCCTGAGCCTCGAGCCTGATGCGACCGACACGGGCGGCGGCTTTGCCAAGGGCGTCGAAGCGGGCCGGCCGATGCTGAAGGCCTTCTTCCGCAACGCTCCGCCTGGCAAGCGTGTGCTGGAGTACGCAGGCCCGCCGAACGAGGCTGCTGTGCTGGAGTGGGCGAGGGCGGTCGACGCGTGGGACGGCAGCGACGCGCTCGCTGACGGGTGGGAGGTGGGCAAAGCGCCGGCAGAGGCCTCCGGAGGCAGCCGTCCGAGAGGGGAAAGGGCGAAACGGAGGACAGCGCAGAGAAGCGCCAAGGACGAGACGTGAGATGCGCTTCCACGTGCAACCTCATCACTCTACTTCTCTCACTCGGTGTACGCCACGTCACGCCACGTGTCACCGTGCGCGCCTGCATGCGCGGTCCTAGCCGCGACGGCTAGGTTTTTTTGTCCAAAAGGGCCACCGGCCAAAAGCGCATGTGCTCGAGCGCATGTCTTGGAACGCCGTCCGTCGTCCGACACGCGACAGTCATCTCGTGCTGGCTGCTGTGCGGAGCTGGGGGCGCGCCCGCGCGCCCCCGCCAAGCGCCAAGCCCATGATGCCGCGCACGCCGGCAACTATGTCATCCTTGGAAAGCCTGCGTGGCTTCGGGCGGCGCATTGCTGGTGGAGCGGAGGTGCGCTCGTCCTCCTGTGACAATCCTTGGACATGCGAGCCGCGGCGCGCCCGTGGCGGAGGCCGCGACATCCGCGTTCCCCTCCGGACTGCCCCGATTGTAGACGCGCCAACAACGAAAGGTCGCGTGCGGACCCTGATTGCTATCAGAAACTTCTCGCAACGCGGCCGTTACTTTGCACCTTTCTTTACGCGCATGATGATGGCCGGCGGCGCATGGGCGCCGCGGAAGTTGCTCGACAGGCTGCGGGGGTGAACCTGCTTTTCTAGACGGCTAGGATTGAGAGCAGCCTCGCTCTCAATCCTAGAAGTCGAAGGATTGTGAGCAGCACTCCTCGCAATCGTAGCATCTCTGTGCGATTGTGAGCGCCTACGCTCGCAATCCTACATCTTCTAGGATTGCGAGCGGGTCCCCTCGCAATCGGTGGGATCACTGTTTGGATTGTGAGGATCTTTGGTACGATTGTGAGCGGAGCCGCTCATAGTCCTACATACAAGATGTAGGATTGCGAGCGCTACTGCTCGCAATCGGAGGCATGTTGCTAGGATTGTGAGCAGTGCTGCTCGCAACCCTAGACTTTGCTCGGATTGCGAGCGCGCTGGTAGTAGTCGTAGGCGTCACCAGTCACCTTGGGAGCGGAGCTGCTCTTAGTCCTAGAAGATGTAGGATTGCGAGCGTAGGCGCTCACAATCGCACAGAGATGCTACGATTGCGAGGAGTGCTGCTCACAATCCTTCGACTTCTCGGATTGAGAGCGAGGCTGCTCTCAATCCTAGCCGTCTAGAAAGAAGGTTCAGCGGCGGCGGTTATCGCTGCGGCAAAAGCGCCCGCCCTCTGCTTGAGCACTTGAGCACTGGATAGGGTCGATTCCGCATGGTACGGGACCCCTCGATCGTCTCGCCCTCCCTCACTGGTATGTTCATTGGGGGGGGTCATAACAAACACGGTACAGGATCGAGGTGCACGCTGCCGAAGGCGAAGCAGTGCTCGTCCCCCCTCTCCCCTCTGCTTTGCTTTTGCCCGCGTTTTACGACAACTTTCGGTTTATCGTAGCCGCCGAACTTTACCTCGCTGTTTCTTTATAGGCGTCTGCAAGCTGCGTATTCTTGTATTATCGTCGAGTAGTATTGCGTGGGCGTGGTGCGTATTCTCGTATCACTAGCTCCGAGTAGAGGGGCGGCGTTCTGCAGTTAAGGTCCTCCTGGCCAGTTTCGGGGGGCAAACCCTGCCCACCCCCTAGAGCCCCAGGTAAGGCCCAGGTGTGGCCTAGGGCATCAGAAGGGACCAAGAGGAGTCCAATCTGAGCCATAGAGCCCATGTCTTTGCCCTCGAGGGTCGCGTTCAAATGCCCGGAACGGACGTTACAGTGGTGTCCGGCCGGCACGATCACCGAGCTGTGACGCTCAGGGAAGCCTGATGAGGTACTGGTTTCTTTGCCCAGGCCTGGCCTACGACCCGTGCTGGATCAGCTGAGCAAGGTTTGGGGAGAATCCTATAGTAGGATCTTCAGATATTTTGACGGATGACCGAAATCACCCCGTTTTTGCCCATTTTCGGTCATCCGTCAAAATATCTATAAATAAATAAATAAAACGGGCACGCCAAACGAGGGGTGGGAGAAGGACAGGGTCCCCACCTGCACGAGCAGGATCTTGTAAGGACGATCAGGGACACAGGGGAACGGGAGCGGGGAGCGCATCGCGACACGGAGGGGGGCTGGGCAGGGTTCACCCACACGACAGGGTCCCAGGGATTCCTCGGACACGCGAAATTCTTCTCCGACAGTAAGATTCTTCTCTGGCTTAGGCGGCTCCGGTGGTGAGCCTGTGTGTGTGCCAGTCCGCGCCAGTCCGCGCCCTTGTCGTGCCAGTGTGCTGTGAGAGAGGCTTGTTCCGCAAGAATTCTTCTCTGGCGCCGCGAAATCCGCCCCAAGTCATGAACTCGCTGCAGGGCGCCCTGCTGGCGCTGATTCTGTGCGCTGCGCTCGTTTCGCTCGGCTCGATGACCTCGGCGCAGGCGTCGATGGCCGAGCGGACCGAAGCGGCTGCGCGCACCGAGCATCAGATGACGGCCCTCCGGCAGATGGCGGCGTCGAGCCAGCGGGCAGAGGAGCGGCTGGATCGGCTTTTGGCCGCGGTGGAGCAGCTGCGAGCGGACGCATCGCTCCGGCCCAAAGTCGCAGCCACGGCGACGCCCGCCGCTGCCGCGGTCTTGCCGGCGCCCGCCGCCACCGCCGCCACCGCCGCCACCGCCGCCGCCACCGCCGCCGCCGCTGCCGACGACGGCTGCCCTGGGCGGCGTCCCTACCACACCGTGCTGACGGCGACGGGGTCGGTCTATCAGCAGTGGCAGGCGCGCATCATGTACCACCATTGGAAGAAGGCCTCCGCGGCCGGCGGCAAGTGCACCGACATGGCGGCCTTCACGCGGCTGTGCGCGACGGCCGGCGGGCGGCCCGACGGGCTCGAAGGCGAGATCCCGACGCTCTTCACGGTGGAGCTGAGCGCGCAGGTGCTGGCGTCGCACTTCCACTTTGGCGTCCTCAACAGGCCAAACTCGGTCAAGCAGCTGATGGAGAGCACGACCCTCCTCGCAGAGATCCGAAAGACGAGTGACTATGTGCTCATCCTCGAGACGGACCACGTCATCATGCGCCCCATCCCGAACCTCGCCACTCCGGAGAAGCCGGCGGCCTTTGTGTTTGGGTACATGTTTCCGCAGCCGTCGCAGCAGTGGGTGGTCGAGAAGTACTGGCCCGGAGGGTCGTACAAGAGCGTGCAGCCCGTCGGCCCGTCGCCTCTCCTCATCCACCTCGACCAGCTGCGCCGCGTCTACCAGAAGTGGCTCGACTTCTCGCTGGGGCTCCGCTCCAACTCCGAGGCGGAGAGGGTGATCCAGGGCTGGGTGCAGGAGATGTGGGGCTACTCGATCGCCGCCGCCTCGGAGGGCATCGTCCACCGGCTCGTCGAAGAGTTCCAGGTCGAGCCGGGCGCACTCTCGACCGAGGCCCAGCTGGCCGAGTTTGCCGCAGGGCGCTTCTACATCTTCCACTACACGTACCAGTTTGAGTACATGCTCGACGGCACGCCCTGCCAGCCGTGGAACATCGGCGAGTGGTCCCTCGACAAGCGCCACTTCAACCAAATCTCGCCGGCCTACCCGCTGCCGCAGCCGCCGCCGGGCGCGAACGCGGCCGGCGTCTGGCTGCTCAACGCATGGAACGAGGCGATGGGTTCCATCCCGAGCTGGCCGTCCAAGCAGCCTGCCGGGGGCGAGGGCGGGCAGGTGGTGCAGACGCTCTACGGCCGCCGCAGGCTGGACTGGTTCTCGCGGCACGCCAACGGGTTCGAGCAGGAGGCTTTAATTAGATCTAAATGAATTATTATGAATGATGAATTTACAAGTCTTGCCAACGGGTTCGAGCAGGAGGCTTTCATTAATTGATACTTAGTCATGACTAATTCATCAATAAGTCTTGCCAACGGGTTCGAGCAGGAGGCGCGCAAGAACCCGCTCATCAAGCGGCTGCGCGGCAAGCGCTACTCGTGCGCCGCCGGCGCGGGCGGCGCCGACGCGCAGCGTGTGTCCGCGGAGCTGCAGCCGACGGGGGACATGAGCTTGGCCGGCGAGCCGCGCGCGCGGTGGGGCGCGATGAACGACCCGATGCAGGGGCCGACTTGCCCGGTCGACGCCTGCCTCTTTGTCAACCTGCGAGGGAAGGCGACTCCGCCGTCCCTCCAGCCCTCCCCTCTCGAGCCAGCCCCGCCCTCTCCGGCTGGCCCCACCCTCTCGAGCCAGCCCCCGCCCTGGACGCTCCACACTCCCTCGCCCTCCTTCCTCCCTGCCGCCCCCTCTCCCCTCTCCAGGAGGCGGTGGCGCACGCGGATGGCTCCCGGCTGACCGTCTATGAGAGCGTCTACACGGCGCGGTCGCGCGAGGCCGCCAGGCAGCCCTTGTGGAGCTGCGAGGCGGCTGAGTGAGGGGCGGGCAGGGAGTCGCGCGATCGGGCACAAACATGCGGGCCACGTGCACTTGTGTCCGAGCTCCAGCGTGTGCACTCGTGTCGGTTGTGGACCTGCCGGACCACGGCGCCCCCCCCGCTCGCAAGCGAGAGGAGTGAGGACGCTCCGAGTGCGACTGCTCTCTGCTGAGCGAGTGGATAGTGGTGAAGATGCGATAGCCCGTGTCCATCATCTGATATCTCAGGTCTCGCTCGGGAGGTGCTTCGTTGTTTTCAGGCTCTTTTGCACGCGCGGTTACTTCCTCCAGGATTGGTCTTCTCTGCCTGCGGGAACACCCTCGGGCGGCCGGGTGGGGCTGCGGCTGGAGCTAGCATGGCTCGATAGAGCCGAGACCCCGTGTTGAGGCGGCGCTCCTGTGGGCGGCTGTGGAATCGGCAGATTCGACCTCAGATCTCCAGTATTCTCATCCCAGTGGATGGACCAACATGGTCCATCCGATGGACGTCCGGACGTCCCTTTGTGTTCCTCTCTCCCCGTCCGCCAGCGAGACGCTCAGTCGCTAAGTCATGATGCGCGATGCCGCAAAGAAACTCGTGGTCGCGTGCGCTCTCGTGTCCGTGACCTTTGCCAAAGCGAGCCACGAGTGTGGCGACGGCCTCCTGGGCGCGAGCACGACCCCGTGGGAGGAGCTTCAGCAGCTTGCAAGCAACCGCTTCTACGGCACCTATCATGAGAGCCGCGCCAACATGCCCGAGCAGCAGCCTGAGTACATCGAGCTGGCCAAGAGGCGGCAGTACGATGGCGATGGACGCAGGGTCGCAGCGTCCTTCGACGACAGGCTATTGCACTTTGGCCTCGTCGACAGCCAGCTGAGGCATGCCGGGGAGGACGCGTACGGCTTTCTCGAGTCCATCGGTACCAAGATGATCCCGCACGGCAGCCAGCGAGCGCCCAACTACACCAGCGTCACCAATGGGCAACTGCTGCGCGGCGAGGGCGAGCTCGACAGCGGCCACTTCTTTGACCATCTGCTGGGCAACGAACACTGCCTGCGCGAGTGGCAGCACCTCGGCGACAACATCGACGACGACGTCTGCCTCGCAGGCCTCTTTCACAGCATCTACGGCACCGTGGGCTATCAGGCTTCGCAGTTTCCGATCTCCAGGCGCGATGAGCTGCGCGAGCTCATCGGTGAGCGCGCCGAGCAGCTCGTGTACTGGACGTGCGCGATGGACAAGGCCACGTGGTTTGAGATGCTTCTCGCCAACAAGGACCTCAAGCACAAGGCGCCGCTCCACCACTTTTCCGGACGCACCACCGCCCTGGGGAAACCCGTGCCAGGCATCTGGCCGCAGGACGGACCCTTCCGCCTGACGGGGGAGGAGCGCTGGACGATGACCGCGCAACAGTACACCGATTACTGCGCGCTGCAGCTGTCGCACTTGTTCCGGCAGGCAAACAATGGCGACCTCGACACTTCGTTCCTGCGCGACCGCTTCCACGAGGCCCACCGCATCATGGCGGAGCGCGCGGGCGGTGCCGCCCTGCAGCAGTTCCACGACGAGCTCTCTCGCTACCGCAGGGAGAATGCGTCGCTCCTCCTGGAGCACGATGAGCGGGGCTGTGCCCCTGTCACCGCGCCCACCAGGCTTCGGGGCCAGCCATTCGTGCCTGGCGGCAACAGGGACTCGATGCCGCTGGTGGTACCGGAGCCGACGGCACGTTCCCTCTGCTGCTGCGCGCGCGCCCGGACAGCAACGCGAGCATCGAGGATTACGCGAAGGAAGCCCTCGCCGTCATCGGCTCCCGCCTGCACGAGGTGGGCGTGGTGCTCATCCGTGGGGCACCGCTGAGCGACGCCAACGACTTTGAGGCCTTCTTGGAGGCGATGGGCCATCGGCTCTTCCCGTACCACCTCGGCACGACGACGCGCTCCATGGTGGGCGCGCTCGCCGCCGAAGCGTCCGACCTCGCGGCGGCGATGATTGTGGAGCCCCACCAGGAGCTAGCGTATCGGCGCGAGCAGCACCCGAGCACCATCAACTTCTTCTGCGCGCGTGCGGGAGGCGCGCAGGACGGCGGCGAGACGCTGTTGGCCGATATGCGCAACGTGACGCAGCAGCTCGACGCCGCACTTCTGAGTGGCATCCAAAAGCTCGGCCTCACCTACATTCGAGTGCTTCAGAACAGGACGCAAGACCCGGAGCATGCCAAGCTCGGATGGCCGCGGGGCAAGGTGACCTCGCCCATGCTATTTGGGGGCAACCGGCCGTCTTGGCAGGACTTCCTTGGCGACACGCGCGAGGAGGCGGAGCAGTGGCTGACGGCGAACGGCTACGGGTTCGAGTGGCTGCAGGGCGACTCGCTGCGCATGTGGCAGACCGTCGACGAGGTCATGCGCCCCCACCCCGTGACGGGAGAGGACATCATGTTTGCTCAGGCTCACGCTCACCACAACTCTTACCACTCGTCGCATCCTGCCTTCCTCGCCGCGACACCCTACCCCTCCCCCAGCGACTTGGAACAGCTGCCGGTGCACGTGACGTACGGCAACGGCTCGCCGTTGAGTGAGGAGGCCCTCGCGCACGTGCGCGCGCTCGTCTACAAGAACTCGGTCGCTCTCACTCTGGAGGCAGGCGACGTGCTCGTGCTCGACAACCTCCTGACCGCACACGGTCGCATGCCCATGAGGGTCTCGAGCAGCCGCGTTTTGCTCACCTCGCTCGGTCGCGACCATCCCAATGCCATTCTGATGGACAATCCCAAATTTCTACCGTGAACCTTTCCATGCGCGCAGCCGCCAGGCACTGGGCTTCGCACGCGGGTCCACCCCATCATCTCCTGCGAGGCCAGTGACGTGCGCGGCCCGATCTGCATGCTGGCGCGTGTCCCTGAGGCCTGAGCTAGACTAAGAGGCCCGGCCGCCATTCGTGCATGCAAATAAGGTGAGCTGCCAGCTCGTGTACGAATAATTAATATGATTGTAACTAATCTATTTGACATATGCATTGATTTGTAAAGTACTTTGTCTTAGCCGGCCGGCCTGGCATACAGCGAGCGCTGCATGCATGCTCAATTTATTAATAAAGGCTGCATGCCGTGGCCAGGGCCGGCTCCTCGCCCTGGCGCCATGCATGCACGCAGATTCTGAGTCCGACGGCGCCGGCGGGCCCGGCCTCGGCTACTAAGCCGAGCTAGATAGAGCCCTAGAGCTCGAGGTCCTCGGCGATGTGATACACGGAGCCGCAGATCAGCTCAGGAAGGTGACGAGGCCGGCGAGGTGGATCGCGCCCAGGGTCCACAGCGTGACGGCGCCGCTCATCAGCACCCCGTGGAGGTCTTCCGCCGAAGTGTGAAGCAGATGCGCATGAGCGAGGCGCAGCGCAAGGAGCGCCGGCGGCGAAACCGCGAGTACCGACGGCGCAAGCGGGAGCTGGGCAAGCCGGACAAGCCGGAGCTGGAGCGTCGTAGGAAGCTCAATTGGGAACTGGACATGCTCACGCATTGAACGCCCCCGCGGCTATTCACCGGATACGGGGTAACGGGGGCGTGCACAAATCTAAAGAGCTCTCGTGTCTGGAGGCACCATCGTCACGCGGCGGTCGGGTGGCGGCTACACAGCCCGGCAGCGTGTCAATCACATCGGAAGCTCGCGGCACCGCATAGCGGACGCGCGAGGTACCGTAGTTGCTGGTGTCGGACGCTCGCGGCACCGCACAGCGGACGCGCGAGGCACCGCCCAGCAACAGGCGACGGAAGGAGGCTCACGGCACCGCGCAGCGGACGCGTGAGGTACCATCCTCGCTGGAGACAGACGGACGCTCGCGGCACCGCATAGCGGACGCGCGAGGCACCATCGGTTTCCATACACAAGCGGAAGCTCGCGGCACCGCATAGCGGACGCGCGAGGTACCGTCATCAACAGCGGCGCGGCGAGGCAACTCAGCGCGTCTCTCAAGGGTGGGAACCTCTTATCACCATCGGCATCTGTTCGTCCTCATCTGCGTTTGCATCACGGCTGTATTGGCGATCGTCAACGCCATGACATAATCGCCATCATCCTCATGCCCAGCTTGCGCGTAGGGAGGAGGAGGCTGCGCTGCGCAAAAGCACGGGCGGGAGGGGTTTCTCCTGCGGAGTCGTGCGTGCGCAGGGCTCCTCTTTGCTTTCTTCTACTCCCTACTATCATCTCGTTCCCGTCCTACCAGAGAAGGTTGCTTCCTCCAGGATTGGTCTTCTCTGCCTGCGGGAACACCCTCGGGCGGCCGGGTGGGGCTGCGGCTGGAGCTAGCATGGCTCGATAGAGCCGAGACCCCGTGTTGAGGCGGCGCTCCTGTGGGCGGCTGTGGAATCGGCAGATTCGACCTCAGATCTCCAGTATTCTCATCCCAGTGGATGGACGTCTGGACGTCCCTTTGTGTTCCTCTCTCCCCGTCCGCCAGCGAGACGCTCAGTCGCTGGCGGCCGCAGTTTTCTGTGACCCACCCACCTCTCCCTTGTGTTTTGTCTGGGGAGGGGTTTCTCCTGCGCGGAGTCGTGCGTGCGCAGGGCTCCTCTTTGCTTTCTTCTACTCCCTACTATCATCTCGTTCCCGTCCTACCAGAGAAACGCGTTTTCTCGTGTCAGACCATTTCACGCTCTCGCACGTCACAGCACACCAGAGGCGACAAAGCCCTGAAAAGAGAGAACACACGTGTCCGCTGTCGTCCACTAGAGGTAACCCATACACACACTCCTGGTGCACAGCGCATAACACTGAACAGGTCACGGGAGAGTGCTCGTGAGCAGCAGGCTCACACCCGCCAAGCCGAGCTGCAAGCCCACGGCCACGAGGCCCCAGTCGAGGTGGTCTGATTTGTACGCGACGAGCAAGCTCGCAGCGATGCTCGCTGTGACAAGGAGCGTCGTGCTGTCCCCGCCGCCGAAGCCGCCACCGCCGCCGCCGCCGCCGCCGGCGCCACTGCTGTCCTCCTCCCTCTTGGAACGGCTCTCGGTGGCAGCTGGGCCGGGGGGAGGGGCGGGCGGGTAGCCCCGCGCTTCAGCCTCGCGCCACATCTCCTCCACGCGCCCTTGCCCGCCGAGCAAGGCGGCGAGGCTGTCTCCGCCCCCGTCGGAGCGGATCTCGATGCGCGCGGCGATGTCCTCGTGCAGGACCCGCCTGATGACGCCCCACGAGGCGGAGAACCAGCGCGGCGCAAAGATGAAGTACGCCTGCGCACAGCGGCCGGGCGGCGTGAGGCGTTGCCCCTCCGACGCCCCTTGCCCCTTCCGCGGCCTCGCTCCTTTCGGAGGTTGATTAATTAAAGAATTAATTAATAATGAAGAATTAATTCATTGCCCCTTCCGCGGCCTCGCTCCTTTCGGAGGTTGTCTGGCACGTGCCGCTGGCCGAGGGAGAGCACGCGAGCGAGCATCGCCAGGCCGGGCGGGTAGAAGTGGGTCGACAGCGAGATGCCGCGCAGGTCGTGGACCTGGGCGGAGGGAGAGGCGGGTGAGAGGGAGAGGCGGGTGAGAGGAAGAGGCGGGTGAGAGGAAGAGGCGGGTGAGAGGGAGAGGCGGGTGAGAGGAGAGGCGGGTGAGAGGGAGAGGCGGGTGAGAGGAGAGGCGGGTGAGAGGGAGAGGCGGGTGAGAGGAGAGGCGGGTGAGAGGAAGAGGCGGGTGAGAGGAGCGGATGCGGACGAGAGCGCCTCGACTGGGCCCGCCCACCGCTCGGTCGGGCAAGCTCGGCCGTTGGCCGCGTTCATGTGCGCGAGCATCCCCTCCACGAAGTGGAGGTAGAAGGTGCGGAGCTCCGACTCGGAGATGTCACGCATCAGCTTCCGAGGCCGGAGCGGGCCGTACCCAAAATAGTACACCCCAGAGCCGCCGGCGATGCTCGTGACGAGGCCGCCAGGCCAATGCGGCGCCACCTTGGCGAGCACCATCTTGCGCGCGTGCGACCCAGCGCCACTGTCATCCAGGCTGTGCTCGGCTCGGAAGCGGAGCGTGTCTCGGAGGGCAGCGGCCGCGGCTCGAACGTCAAGCTTGTGGGCGATGAGGAACCGCTCAAAGGCACGCGGCTTCCCACCAAGCGCGCATGTGGAGGGCTCTTCGCCGCTGAGGCCGGAGGCCTCCTGGAGCTGCCGCACGAGCTCGTCCATGGTGGGCGCCATGGCAGAGGCGGCCCCCTAGTACCCCCTACCCTTATAGGGGGACCCCCCAGAGGGCCCCGCAATAGGTAGGTAGGTGGTGGTGGTGGTGGTTGGTGGTGGTGGTGGTTGTGGTGGTTGTTGTTGTTGGTGGTGTGTGTGTGGGGGGGGGGGGCGAGAGGAGTGGGAAACCCGCTTCGCTCGCGCGGGAGACGGTGCGTTTAGCCGCGAACGGGGCCATGCCAGACGAGTCGCCTGTTGTGACGCCAGCCGAGACGGGTGCGGTGGGCGCTGGGAGCCTTTGGCATATCTCCAGAAACGACTAGCAGTAATCAAACTCACTTTGGTCCGCCGAATGTACGGAGGTCCGCCGAATGTACACGCGCCGACAAAACGCGAATGCGCGCCGCGCTCCGGCGCCATGTCAATGCAGAAGAGTGCTGCCGTCGGGGCTGAGGGCGACGCTGACTGGGTTGTCGAGCTGAGCTTCACCGCCCACGCCATCAGCGCTGCCAGCAGTGCTGCTGCCCGCGAGCGTAGTCACCGCGCCCCTCGCCACCTCCACGTGCCGGATCTTGTGGTTCCAGAACTCTGCCACGAACAGTGCGCTGCCGTCGGGGCTGACGTCGATGCCGATTGGGCTGTTGAACTGCGCCGCGCCGCCCACGCCATCAGCGCTGCCTTCGGCGCCGCTGCCCGCGACAGTCGTCACCACGCCAGTCGCCACCTCCACCCGCCGGATCGTGTAGCCGCCGAAGTCCGCCACAAACAGCACGCTGCCATCGGGGCTGATGGCGATGCCAGACGGGCCGTCGAACTCCGCCGCGCCGCCCACACCATCCTCGTCGCCTTCTTCGCCGCTGCCCGCGACAGTCGTCACCGCGCCCGTCGCCACCGCCACCCGCGGATCTTGTGGTTGTTGTAGTCCGCCACACAAACAGCGCGCCGCCGTCGGGGCTGATGGTGACGCCGTATGGGGCGTTGAACTGCGCCGCGTCGCCCACACCGTCCGCGTCGCCATGTTCGCCGCTGCCCGCGAGCATAGTCACAGCGCCAGTCGCCACCTCCACCCGCAGGATCTTGTGGTTGCCGTTGTCCGCCAAAAACAGCGCGCTACCGTCGGGGCTGAGAGCAATACCCGGCCGGCGGCAATCCTCGCAGGTCGCGACGGTGCGGCGGCGGCAATCCTCGCAGGTCGCGACGGTGCGGCTGCGCCCGGCCGCCGACACATGCAGCAGCGAGTGCTCTGTCGTGACGTACCAGCCGCCCGCGCGATCGCTTGCAACGGCAAACAGCGGGCCGTCCTCGCCCTCGAGCGCCAGCGTGGTGACCTGGCCGACGACGCGCGCGCCAAAGATGGGCGCCTCGAAGCCACCCGCGACTGGCACAGCCTCGCCCTCCTCCTCGCCTTCGCTGGCGGTGCGGGCGCGCTTGCGGGAGGACACACACATGCGCCGTGAAGCCGAAACCAGCGTCAGTGGGTTCGGTCCTAACCATGTGCGGTCTCGGTTCTTGCGCTCAGCTTCTACATACATCAGCTTCTGAGTTCTTCGCCTTTCTATCTATCTATTGCCGCCGCAATCCGATGTGATCACACGATGACTTATTCGATGTGAACACGGCTTTGCCAATGGGAATCGCGCCACCCGAGACCCGATCTCACGCAAGCGACAAAAGGCCGGAGTGCGAGGCGACGCATGTCTTGAAGGTCCGATACTGGAAGCCCATATACAGGCCTTGTCAGGTTCTCGCTCATCCACCCACCCTTCCTCGACCTTCCCGACGATACCAGCGGGCCCGCCTCCAGCCCTCCACCTAGAAGACTGGTGCTGGGGGGTGAGTGTTCCCTGCTTCCGGCTACTGCATATACCTGAGCTAGGGCCTGAGAGACCTCGCTGGAGCCGAGGCATAGCGGCGTGATTTCGGACCTCCACCACCGACCACCCTCGTCATGTCCCGGGCTGTGTGGCCTCAACCCTAGCCGGCCCGCTGTTCCTAGGTAGGGTTACGCGAGCTGTCCAAAGCTGTCACACTGAGGGAGGGTGTAGAGGATGTAGAGTGTAGAGCGCTGTAAAGATGTAGAGATGTAGAGCGCTCTGGAGCGCTGTAGAGCTTGTAGAGCTGTACATCCGGCGCGTGACGATGTGAGTCCGATGTAGAGCGATGTAGAGCGCGATTCTGCTGTAGAGTTTGTTGTAGAGGCTCTATAGCCAAACCGCTGGGAAGGCAGTGACTCAAAGAGGTCGAGCCGCGCTAGTGGGGTGTGTCTCCGAGCTTACTGGAGCTCTGATGGACGGCCCTGACTATCCCTGACACACAGAGAGTCACTCTGACGGCACACAACACCCTATAACTGCGTCATGACCAGCCTGCCATGCGTCGCCGGTGCCGCATTCGTCGCAGTGCTTCTTTAGCAGGCGGTGGACTGTCGGCTGCGAGGACGGTCGCATTTGCGCGAGGCGAGGAGAGCATTGCTGCGCGTTGCATGCGCCATGACTCGCGCCAGCGAGCGCGCGTGCGGGAGCTCCTGGCTGAGCGTTGAGTCCAAGCGAGTTGCGCTGGCCACGATCGCTACGCCGAGCCGAGCTGACGCGCCGAGGCGCCGGCCAGTCGCAGCCGTGAGGCATGTCACAGCAGCAGAGGCACCTGCCACCCATTGGGCGGGCAGACAGAAGGCCAGGGCAGCACTGGCAAGTGCAACGCGCCTCATGTCGGAGAGCGACCGTGCCTCTCGTTCGCCGCTTATGGTGTAGAATTTGTTGTAGAGATTTTACGTTGTAGAGCGCCTCTACATCGCTCTACATCGGACTCACATCGTCACGCGCCGGATGTAGAGCTCTACAGCTCTACAGCGCTCTCCAGCTCTACAGCTCTACAGCGCTCTACACTCTACATCCTCTACACCCTCCCTCAGCTGTCACAGCTAGGGTTGCAAGACCTCAAAGGCCGGTCATCCACCACCCGAAAGTGGCCGCCCTCCCCTCCAGAGCGCCGCCACAGCCGTCGTGCAAAACGGCCCAACCACCGACACGACCGCCACCGTCCGGCGGCAAGGCATACGCTCTGAGGCCGTAGAATGGCGACGGCTGCATCTAGCTCTTTGCGCGGGTCAAGTGTACCTGGCCTCCCCTTGATGGTCCTATGCGGGCTTCTTCACAGGAGTCGATCTTGGAGAGGGGCAGTGCTCACTCTGCACTCTCTGGTCGGCCTGCTGTACCGACCCGTCGTTGGCTTCACATCTACCTCTTGCCAGCGGCTCTCCTCGGCACCAGAGCACTCCATCAGAACGACAGAGCCTGTCCTGGGGCGGGTCCCTACGCCCTTACAATCATACGCATAAAAAACCCGGACTCAATCAATTGTACTGCGGTGGGGTGAGTAAATGCACAAAGAGCAAAAAACTGACGAGGCCTGCGCCACAATTGCAGCGGAGGTGTGCCGAGGGGGACCGGGAGGCGGTATAAAGTAAATCGCCCGGCGCTGCTTGCAGGTTGCAGCGTTGCAGCTCCGCGGCGAAGGAAAAAATCTCTTCTCCGCCGCCCCCGCCCCCGGCAAATCGCAAGCAAGGCGTGTCGTGCGATACACACAGTCGTCAAGTATTGCTAAAAATCTCTCTCTCTCTCAGTCGTCTGTAGATCTAAGTAGAGCTCTACCTGAACTGGGACTGGCGAGGTACTCCCACCCTCAAACGGGGTACCCCCTTTGCTGGGGCGAGCCTCGGCGAGAGCCATGGTCGCCGGCGAGCCACTCGCTCTTCCCCGCGCCGGCCCGCGCTTGCGCAGTGGCGCTGATGTGGATCGGCCATCGCATCGCGTACGGATCTCCGTCCCGCTCGGAGTTGGGCGCGCTGTCCGACGTCTGGCGCGAGCATGTGGTGCCGCACGCAGTTGCGCGCGAGCGTAGTGGGCCGCCTGTCGCGTGACGCGTCATAGCGCCCGGCCTTGGGTCGCGTTAACCTTTTTTGCTGTGCCGCTTGAGTGTTGAGAGAGAGCGCCGCGGCGTGTCGACCGCCACCGGCGCGGGGGCCCCAGTGGCCAGACGCCAGAGCTCCAAAAATAGTTGCGTGAATACCCCATTGCAAGGAGCCCGAACCCTCGGCGAGGAAAGGACAAAAGTTCACATGGCGGCACGGCGTGGAGGACCGGGCCGCTGGGACGACGACGACGACGATTACGCGCCGGTGTACAAAGGGAACCGGAACTACGACTCCGTCGGCGCCAAGGTTGGCGAGGCCTTCTCCGACCTAGCCGTCAGCGTGCGCAAGGTGGCGGACCGGGTTCTCGACGACGGGGGGTGCGAAGCCTGGAGCGGAGTGAAGTAGCACTGATGCCGCGTCTGCTGGCCGTCTCGTCCCCGTCCGACCGCGGCAGCCTCGCACTCTCCCACGCAGCGCCGCGCGCTCGCAGGACGAACCGCGGCGGGCGCTTTGACGAGCGGCGAGGCTCCGGAAGCAGCAACAACGCCTGGGGCCGCGCGCGCCGCGCCTTCTCGATGGGCGATGACAGCCCACCGCGCAGCCAGAGCTCGCTGCCCGAGAACTGCTTTTGCGACATGCGCGGCTTTGCCTGCCCGCGCCACCGAGGCGAGCAGAGGGTGAGAGAGGGAGACGGGCGCGGAGCTGAGGCCGGCGGCAGGGAGAGGCGGCGAGAGGGAAGGCCAGGCGAGAGGCGGCTGCTGTGGCCCCACCCTCGCGTGCGCCTGCCACTCGCAGGGCGCGAGAAGTGGAGGCAGAACCACGACTACAAGATCCACGTTGAACACAACATCGACTCTGCTGCGTCGGACGCCGCGCTCGGTGACTCTCACGCCGGCTCCCTCTCCCTCTCCCTCTCCCCCTCTCTCTCACACACACACACACAACGTCGACTCTGCTGCGTCGGACGCCGCGCTCGGTGACTCTCACGCCGGCTCTCTCTCCCTCTCCCCCTCCCCCTCCCTCTCTCTCTCACACACACAACATCGACTCTGCTGCGTCGGACGCCGCGCTCGGTGACTCTCACGCCGGCTCCCTCTCCCTCTCCCTCTCCCCCTCTCTCACACACACACACACACAACGTCGACTCTGCTGCGTCGGACGCCGCGCTCGGTGACTCTCACGCCGGCTCCCTCTCCCTCTCCCTCTCCCTCTCCCTCTCCCTCTCCCTCTCCCTCGCCCTCTCCCTCTCCCTCTCCCTCTCCCTCTCCCTCTCCCTCTCCCTCTCCCTCTCCCTCTCCCTCTCCCTCTCCCTCTCCCTCGCCCTCTCCCTCGCCCTCTCCCTCTCCCTCGGTGACTCTCACGCCGGCGCCCGCAACGCACGTCGACTGATCCCGCCTCCCCGCCCCTCTGCCCAGGCGCCGGCTCGACCCTCGCCGGCTCCACCTTTGGGAAGTGTCTAGGAAGTGTCTAGGAAGTGTCTAGGCGCCGGCTCGACCCTCGCCGGCTCCACCTTTGGGAAGTGTCTAGGAAGTGTCTAGGAAGTGTCTAGGCGCCGGCTCGACCCTCGCCGGCTCCACCTTTGGGAAGTGTCTAGGAAGTGTCTAGGAAGTGTCTAGGCGCCGGCTCGACC